ATATAATATCAAGACGTTTGGTACATTTTCCAGTACTGGGTTGCGACTGGAAGGGCATCCGCTGCGTAAAACTTATACTGGAATAGTTGACGTTTCATTCCGCTGTGGCGACCCCTGATAAATAAGGGACTAAGCTGAAGGAAAATAATAATAATAATAATGAACGTTTTTACACCCAATTTAATATGCTTATGAAAATTGCAGTTTTTCGGTTTTGCATTTAGATTAAAAATTTAATTTTGTATTTTGCCCATTCCTTTAATTACTCTATGAACTGAACCAGAAGCCAACTCTGTATGGCACTATTCCTGTTTTAGCTAAATTGATAAGCTTTAATTTTTAACTTTGAACCTCAAAGCCAGAAGAGAACTTGCACGGGACATCTGAGAAGTGCTCATTTGAATAGGTGAATTAAAGATATGACATGCAAATTAATCCTTGCTTCTCAACGGTAAAGCTGAATTATGAGCAGTAATTACGTCCACCCGCTGACTTGATTGGTATTCACTCGGTTATGTCTTAGTATGTAAACATTAAGGAAATTGTGTTGTCTAACTTTCTTATCAAGCGGCATAACAACTTGACTGAATGGCTATATAGCTCAATCATGGTTACTTTATTTAAACAGTGTGCAGTGTTATATTTGATATATTCATTCATTTTCTTTTTGGCTTAGTCCCTTTATTAATGTGGTGTCGAGAATGAACCACCAAACTTATCCAACATATATTTTACGCAGCAGATGCCCTTCCAGCTGCAACCCATCACTGGGAAACACCCATACACTTCCATTCACACACATACAGTACTGACAATTTAGCTTACCCAATTTAACTATAGCACATCTATTTGGACTTGTGGGGGAAACCATGCGAAAACGGGAAGAACATGCAAACTCCACACAGAAATGCCAACTGACCCATCCGAGGCTCAAACCAGTGACCTTCTTGCTGTGAGGCGAGAGTGCTACCGACTGCGCCAACGTGCTTCCCAGTGTTATATTTGATTATTCAATTCAATTTCAATTTATGCGACTGAAAACTACTTTTAAAAGGCTGAAAAGCACTGTTTATTTTAGTACATTCGTTGCTATATTTAGGTCATTTGTTTTGTATTTTACTAGTAGAGATTTTTATTTGATAGTGTCCTGTTTTTAGATTGAACCTATCACATTGAACTGTACCGAAACCATGGCCCTAAAACTGAAGACCAAATCAAACCCTGAGAAATTGATAAACTGTTGCCTCCAAAAGTGTATCAGTCCGTAACTGCTTTTGTACCTGTATTTCTGAGTAAATATTATTTTATTTATTTCCTATTTTTTTTATTAATACAAAATGTTACTATAAGACGCATTAAAACGAGGCAACGAATGAAGAGGAAAAATTACCCAACTCCATGAAGTGCAACTGACATCTAACATGGAACATTCTGCACACTTTATGAAAGAGCATCAAATATATTAGGGGGCTATTTATAGTAAAAGAAATAAATAAATCAGACACACAGTACCATGGCGAAAAGCAATGTGTTAAAGCACAATTTGCACAGTTCATGAAAAAACTACAGTTAATAATACAGCTGATGGTATATATTTTTGGTCATAAACTGAATGTTTACATTGAAGCTAAGCATATACTGTACCTTACTAAGTACTACTTTTGAACATATAGGTTGTTTGGGGCAAGTCTAATCATTCCATTGTTCTGAAAAATCAGCATTTTAAAATCTTATTTTAAATCTGCATTTTATTTTTATATCTCCTAGCACTACCTAAATAATTATTCATTCATTCATTTTCTTGTTGGCTTAGTCCCTTTATTAGTCAGGGGTCGCCACAGCGGAATGAACCGCCAACTTATCCAGCAAGTATTTACACAGCGGATGCCCTTCCAGCCGCAACCCATCTCTGAGAAACCTAAATAATTAAGTATGTTATAATCACGTTTTGATAATCGTTTTATACTTGAGAACCGCACTTTAACATCGATCATGACAATATTTCTCACACAATTTTATCACATGGCTCTTAGAAGACTTGGAATAAATATACAGCATTGTTTTATGAAACATTTATGGTGTTTTTCTGTTGCTTTGGGAGTGTGAAAGCTGTTTTTTTGTGTGTATGAGAAGAGCTGTATGTGAAGTTTTAGGTTTTACAGAAATAATAACAATTGTGACATCAAGACTGAAGTTTCATGTTTGAGTGAAAAATCTCTCTCAAAGGGCTTTGCTAACAGATTCAAAGGCTGTTTTGGGTTTATATTTTGATAAGACTGAAGTGGACAGAAAGCACACAGTGCCTGCAGAAGCTGTCAAGAGTTGCGCTTTCATGTAAAGCAGCACATCGAGCTCTCGTCTGCAGACACTAAAGCATGGTGTCTCTTATAGGAAACTAAAGAAAAAGTGACAGATAAAAACAAAAGCAGAAGGCAAAAGGCACAACAAATGGAAATTGAGCTGAAATCTAATTACACACTATTACGATCCATGCTTTAAAAGTGAACTCATCTCACTTGTGCTTTAAAAATTGTGTGTGATAACTGTCAGACTTTGTCAGACTCTAAATTAGACTTCTGTCAGTAAAATTTTTCTTGTTACGATTAACTGTTGAAGCTTATGGCTGCAAAAAAAAAAAAAAAAAAATGATTGCTTCAACAGGTATATACAGTTGAAGTCTGAATTATTAGCCCCCCTTTGATTTTTTTCTTTTTTTAATATTTCCCCAATGAAGTTTAACAGATTTAGGAAAATTTTCACAGTATGTCTGATAATATTTTTTTTTCTACTGGAGAAATTCTTTTTTTTTTTTTTTTTTTTTTGACTAGATTAAAAGCAATTTAGGCTAAAGCAATCTAGCCACCTTAGGCACATTTTTTTTTAAAATCTTTTTCGAGTCTACAGAACAAACCATCGTTATACAATAACTTGCCTAATTACCCAAACCTTTCCAGTTAACCTAATTAACCTAGTTAAGCCTTTAAATGTCACTTTAGGCTGTATATAAGTGTCTTGAAAAATATCCAGTCAAATATTATTTACTGTCATCATGGCAAAGATAAAATAAATCAGTTATTAGAAATGAGTTATTAAAACTTTTATGTTTAGAAATGTGTTGAAGAAATCTGCTCTCCTTTAAACAGAAATTGTAGAAAAAAAGGGGGGCTAATAATTCAGGGGAGCTTATAATTCTGATTTCTACTGTATATGAGCAATATCACACGGGTAGCAGTGTAATGTTGCTGTATATCAGCACTGGTGGGCACCGTGCATTGTGCTTAGTGTCCCACCAGTGTTGATATACAACCACAAACCACTGCTGTGAGTGTGATATTGTGTTTATACAACAGTTCGGCAGCATAATCATGTACATAAAAAAGAAAATCATTTACGGAGAGTTTCAAAATCCTTTTGTAAGAGTAACTACTTCTACTATTCATTCACATCTGCAGCTGGCGTCAGGACAGCGGAAAACCATTGGTACTGGACCAACGTCATTTTAGAGCTAGTGTTTGAATGATTATTTAGTGTAATGTCTAAAGTGACAACAAAACAGATTTTGCTCTCATTGTATAGATTATAAGGCTGAACGGCAAGAAATGCCATCAGTCTACAGAGATTTCCTAGTATTTCTCTGTTGCAATCAGATCACAATAAATAATCCTGAAACTTATCACTGTTTATTACTTATAACTGATTACTGTTGTGTTTGCGATAAAGAAAAATGCTAAACTCATGCAGGCATTTCTTCTTTCTTTCATTTTACTGAACTAGTCTGCAGTAGCGAAAACAGCAGACTCATTAGAAACAGATGTTCAACCAACAAGTAACTCAGGGTTTTACAAAGAGTGGCCAACACAAAAATCCCACATTCCTAATATGTGAGTCACATCTCACACGCAACACACTGCAATTACTATGGTATAAATACAGAACTACAACATACAAAAAAGAGAGATTGACTTAGAAAGTCATTTACCAGTTTTATAATTATTTGATCAGCTGTAGATTACAATTATGCTGAGTTTTCCTCCTCTAAGGGCTTATTATGTGGTCTCTGTCGCCATGTTGTGGATGGTGATGTATCGCCAAAATTATAAATATTTAAAATAGGCTCTGTTCTTGTAAATAAAGTGCATAGTTGCAATCTAAACAACTACATTCTTGCCTAAAAAAGCCTCAAAAGTACATTATGTTGTCCAAGAGCTGCAATATTTGTTAAACTGTACTGTTTATTAAGCTGCATTCAGACTATTTGGGCGGAGTAATACAGAAGGATGACAAGGCTGTAGGAGTTCTGATAATGCAGAATATCGCACTGCTATCAGCCAACCAGATTCAAGAACCAAACTGAACTGTTGTGTATATATATATATATATATATATATATATATATATATATATATATATATATATATATGTATGTATGTATGTATGTATGTATGTATGAATGTATGTATACATACATGTTCAGAATAACTAAATGCTTTTGTAGTTCTCATTACATTAACTTCAGTTAAACTGATGTAATCTTTAAACAGATTTTTTTTTATGGTGTAGGCCAGATTAACGTGAAAATGTGTTACCGGTGCCAACACAACAATCTGGATATTCCTAAAAGGCACTTTAAAAAAAAAGTTTAAATAATAAATAATTATTCATGGTATTTTGAAATGCCCACAATATCAGTATTATGCATGTTCATTATAAATTGATATTGAATATCAGGATATCTACTTTAGATCAATTTTGATTTTGTGACAGAATCAGAAAAGTATCATCCTTTGAATCGTTTCTTTAAATTCATTTTCTAAAATAAACTGTTCAGCCAAGCATATCCATTAGCGTAGTAATGTGGTCAGATGGCTGCTGTAAAGGCTTTTGCTAATGAATTTTTCTCTGGTTGGTCAGTGTTGGTCATCCATCGCTAGTGGCTCATTGTTTCAGGGGTTGAAAGATCATTTTGTCTTTTCTCTCTTCTCTCTTTCCTCTTCCTCCAGTCACCATCGACTCACTCTACAAGGTCACAGAAGGGCGTCAATCTGACATCTTCCATCGCCATGCGGAAGGAAGCTTTGATCCCAGCTGCTGTTTTACTATTTACCATGGCAACCACATGGAGTCTCTGGACTTGGTTACCTCAAACTCGGAGGAAGCGCGGACATGGGTGACCGGACTCAGATATTTGATGGCTGGTATTAGTGATGAAGACTCACTAGCTAAGAGGCAGCGTACACACGACCAATATCCTTTAATGCATGAGAAATTAATAATCATTTATACATTTTTATATAGTTTATTCAGGGAGGCACAGAAGGGTTTGTTTTTCTTGTTTTTTGTTGCTCTTTTTTATACAACAGGATGATATTTGCAAGTATATACACTACCATTCAAACACCATTAAGTTGATAGAATTTCTGGTAAGGCTTTAGATTACCACAATCTAGACAACTCAGAACCAGTTTTTAAACTTTAGAATAGTTAAAGCAATATTTCACGCCCCCCGCCTCCCCAAAATGAGAATTTATTTACCCTCAAGTTGTTTTAAACCTTTATGAAATTATTTCTTTTGTAAAAGATATTTTGCTTCTGAAGAAAGCTGAAAAGTCTGCAAATATTGACTTTCATAGTTGGAAAAACAAATACTATAGAAGGCAGTGGTTACAGGTTTACAACCTCCTTCAAAATCCTGTCCAATATAAATTGCTAATACTTGTCATTCTGGTCCATTGCCATTATATGGAGGGAGGGAGGGGGCGGGGGTAAATTGTTGTGACTATCCTTAATCAAAATTAAATATTAGTCACATCTTGGGTCTGCTGAGGGATTTAGATGCTTTCTTAGAAATAGTACATGGAAGGACAATCATTATTTGTTACTGTTTATTGTAGAGTTAATTTGAACACAAACCTGATATCAAATAAACAAAAATCCAACAACTTCGGCCACCAAACACACTGAAGGTAAGGTCTAAAGACCATGTGCTCCCAGCAGGCCCATCTCAACTTGGCCACACCCAGGTTTTAAGCTTCCTCCTGCCTGAATGGAGTGCATATATCTATAATGAAAGAAATCATAATTAACAACATTCATTCATTTTTTGTTTTTGGCTAAGTCCCTTTATTAATTTGGGGTCGCCATAGCGAAATAAACCACTAACTTATCCAGTATATGTTTTACGCAGCGGATGCCCTTCCGGCCGCAACCAATCACTGGGAAAATGATTAACAACATAAACCTTTAAATAAAGTAAACAAATGGCTCCTACAAAACTGGCACCTAATTGTGTTTGAACTTTTTTCAAAACAATTAAAGAAAGTTATTAATGGAGCCATGTCATATTTTCAATATTTGTGTTTAATTGTGAATTAAAAAAACAATTCAGTTAAAATAATTCAATTAATAGTTATCTGCAGTTGTTATTAGAATAGAAGTGACATCAACCCTCTAAATAAAAAAATGAATGAATGAACAAACAAATTCTTGAAGTAATAATATTTTTATTGTAAATGTGATGGAAATATAATTGGTAGTTTATAGAATAAAGCGAATAGGAACATTTAGCCCAAAACCATGTTGCACATTTTGAAAAATTAAACATTTTCACATGGTCTCTTAGTTTTTTCTTAGCTAGCTAAGTAAAAGGGCCTCAACAGTTCTGTCATAATTTACTCACCCTTTACTTGGGTAGAACATTTATGAATATCTTTCTTCTATTAATGCAAAATAAGTTATTTTGAAAAATGTTGGAAACCTGTAACTATTGACTTCCATACTATTTGTTTTTCCAATAATTAATAATTTCATTTGTGTTTATCAGAAGAAAGAAACTTGAAATCTCTTGAGGGAGAATAAATAGTGAATTAATTTTCGTTGTTAGGTGAACTATATATTTAGTGGCACAGCATATCAGTTATGTATATCATAACATTTTATCTGAATTACTTCTGAATTTCACTCACACAAAACCATGATATTGCTTTTTTTTCTTTTTTTGTCACTGTCTTTGTAGAATATACAAGAGCAGCTTTTGGCATTCAGACTTCAGAACTGAACAATTTTCATTTTTGGCTGAACTAATCTTTTAATGGAGGCATTGCGGAGCCATTGCGATTGAAAGATTGGAGGAAGAGGTGGAGAGGAAGGCAAGATTTTGTGATTGATTTAGATTGATTGATTTAGACTGATTTACAAGAGAGAGAGAGAGAGAGAGAGAGACAGAGAGAGGTAGCAGGAGCTCTTTGAGTTGTTCAGGGCTTCAGGGAGTCTTCCTCTGCGGGGAGTTCTTACAGAAACACAGCCTCACATGAAAGAAGCGGCCTTAGAGGAAGTGGAGATGAAAAGCTGGAGCTTCTCATCCTCTCCTCCCTTATGTTTATGTCTGTTATTCTCATTAAAGAGGCGTGAGTCATCAGGAGGCAGTCATTATAATCTGCCATAACAGTAGACACAGAGCGTATGGCCGCTGGTTATTTCACTCTCTTATTGTTGTGCATATAGTATTTCCAGTCCCCACTGTTTCAGAAACACAAGCCTGAAATCAGAAGAAAAGAGCAGCCAATATTTTTTTATAGAGCAACAGTTTTTATAATGTAAAATATGTTAAAACTGAGGATGGAGACATGGTAAACTACAAGGTAGTAAACATACAATCAAAAAATATGATTTTGCTGCTTGTTCAAACTGCTTATATAAAATGAGCTGAAACAACACAATTCTTAAGATGTTTTTGGCACAACCTATATGTTTTATGTTCAATCCACTTAAATTTGTTACGTTACCTTAATTGATTTGTGCTGGGATATCATAAAATACTTGTGCGTAACCCAGCATTTTTTTTACAGTGTATGAACAAATCCACGTCACACAGTTTATCAGCAAATCTACAGTGATGAAATAGTTTTAAAAGAAATCAACATATGCACTTCAATCTCACATATGGTTTAAATTAGTCATAAATGGTATAATGATAATAATAATAATGATTGTAAAAATCATTAAATTTATAGTAAAAGAAGGGAATCGTGGTTGCCAAAATTTTACCAGTAAAAAAATGATAGGAACATTTTTAATTTTAAGGTAAAATTCATTATTTCATTAATTTATGTTATGTTAACATTGATGTATTGACGTTTAAACAACTACATTGTACTTTTGCAATTTATTAAAAATACAAATATGAAATCATCAGAAAAAAGCAACCAGATATTGTTTTTGTAATGTAAAATATCTGAAAACTGAGGATGGAGTCATGGCAGACTACAAAGTATTGAACTTATGAACAAATGCACATCAATTTCATTAATCTTGCTCTCAACTGCTTGGTAAAGTTCTGGTGAAATGTTAATGTCTGTCTGATTAGCCTCCTAATCACGCTGCAGTTATCTGAATCAACCTCTAAATTTGGATGACTTTCAAAGTCTGTCCCTTGTCTGCAGACCTTCTAAGTAGCCTCTCACTGTTTTCTTTTCAGTCACACAAGCACTGCCACTTTCAGGCCTGTAATTACATCCATCCCAGGCTCTTTGCCAACTGTCATACTTCATAAAACCAGACGTCGTTTCTTCTAGACTAAGTAAAACTTATCTATTTCCTGTAAGTGTCTCAATGCTGATTACATATACAACATATTAAAACATTATTCCATACATATATGCACACATACAGTATGTGACCCTGGACCACAAAACTAACCCTAAGGGTCAAAGCTTTTGGCAAATGTATATAACAAGCTGAATAAATAACCATTTTGTTGTTGTGTGGCTTATTAGGATTGTATAACATTTGGCAGAAACCCATATATATATGAAAATCTGAAATCTGAGAAAGTCACCTTTAAAATTGTCCAAATTACACTAAGTTCTACTTAAAGTACTACTCAAAAGTTAAGTTTTGATATAAAATATGGGCTCAAGATGTAATGTAGTTAAAAATGATTGTAGGAATACACACAATATTTCAACATATACAGCTGTGCAACTTAAGGATTTTGTATATGCAAATATCAAATAGAATAAATGTCTCAAAATCACATGCAATATTATATAAACTCTACACATACCACATCTTATACAGTATCATGTATTCTAAGCAACGTGTGATCCAGTTATTGGACTTCTCAAGCTCAGAACCAATTAACATCACAAAACAATTTAGCAGCCCAGTTACACTAACAAGTTGGTCTTATACATTACATCAGTGTCAGGGGGGCCTTTTTTCATGAATAAAAAAACAATAAAAATGCATTTTTATTACATTCGCAATAAACATTGTGTGTCTGTACTGTGCTTGTGATTCTCTTAGTTGTGCATTAGAGCTAGTTGTGTTACAGCTCTGAGGAGTGTAAAGCATGAGCTCATCCACTCCTAATGTGCTCAGACAGATATAGATAATAATGTTTCTTAAAAAGGCGCAGGCGACCCCCCCCCCCTGCCTTCTCCTTAAATAAATAAAAAATAAATCATACAAAGCTTTCTATTTGGTATCAGTTTTTGCCTGATTTTTCTGATGTTGCCATCCTAGCATTTTTTGTCCTTTGGCCTTAACCTTGCTGTAAGTGGATGAAGCAGACCTTTGAGGAGGCTGATAAGAATGGAGATGGTCTTTTGAACATGGAGGAGATCTACCAGCTTTTACACAAGATGAATGTCAACTTGCCTCGAAGGAAAGTTAAACAGATGTTCCAGGTATGTGGAAAAGATTGGAAAATTAAAAGTATTAAAGACATAGCCAACCCCCAAAAATGAACATCCTCATCTTTTATTGACACTTATGCCATCTCAGATATACTATCTTTTCTTTAGATGAACACGAATCACTAGTCAAATATTCCATCTATATAAACATGTTATAAAATTTACTTGAGAAGCAAGCTTCAAATTGTGCAAGCAACTGGCCCTCTCGTGAAGCTTGAAAGTTTTTTGTTTTTTTTATAGTGTTGTAAAAGACTATTTTATTTTATAGACTGTAAAATATATGGAGGTAGTATCTGTGACGTCACCCATAGTTTTCTAATGAGCGCAAATGAAGATACAAGTAGGCATAACCAACCCTCACCATTTTGTTTGCGAGTCATCGCATCCCCTTGGGGTGGCCGAATAAGGGAAAGAGGCGGAGCATCAATGGAGCTACAGATGCCTGCTATAATTCGAGAGAAATGCTTAATACTTCATTACTTTAGTGATAATTGGATTTATCAAATATTAAAATCAATATTTAGGTATTGATAATAATTATAATAATTATTGATAATAATATTGATATTTTAGCCTCACGTTGGGGCACCAATTAATGTCAAAATAACAGATAAACAACTCCTAAGCACCAGACAGCTTTCCACTATCAAAATAATTAACAATAAAATATTGTTAATTAAAATATAAAAATTAGGAGTTTATTATCTGGCCAAATCTGAAGGATAATGAGATCGTTTGACTTGTAGAGTCTTTTTCTGTATTATCAACACAAGGAAGACACAATTGTAATAAATGGGTATTTATTAACAAAATAGTAAACAAAGGTAACAACAATTACTAAATGTTCAGTAAATGAAGTGCATAGGCAAGTGATGAAGGTGGTTAAGTCAAGGTAAGGTAAACCTTATTCTACAATAACAAAGAACTGAGGAAGTTTTTGTTATTAATGAATATCAGTTATAAACATTTAATTCATTAGAATATTTTATACTTAAACACACTATGCCAAGGTCTAATTTAGAGGGCTGGAAAGTGGAATAAGTGCAAGAAGTTGGATGTTCTTGCAGATCTTCAAGCATGGAACGAGCAGACTTGGCTCTCTTGAGCTTTCAGAAGAAGAAATCTGTAGATTCTGAAGATTTCTGGAGGTGGTGGTTCAATGTCCGGGACACACCGACGTCTTTATCCTTGAGCGTAGAAATCTGTAGATTCTGAAACACACAGAAATTGGAGATTTCTGAAGATGGTGGTTCGATGTTGGGAACACGCCGACGTCTTATCCTTGAAGGTAGAGCTGGGACACGCAGATTTCTGGAGGTGGTAATATTGAAGCTATGGTTTCAGACGCCTTGGAAAAGCACTGTGAATCCAATGACCAAATCCTTTCTGGAACACACAGCAAAAGTTCTGATATCACTCTCGATACCCCTTGTTGTTACTACCACGCTCTGCACCACTCTTGCTCTGATCTGCAACACACTTCTGAACAGAATCGACTTCTTAACAAAACCCTCATTCTCTTTGTTTGAGAGACTGTCTTTAATACTTTCTCTGGAAACGGGATTGAAAGGATGTCACCTTTCAAATCCAGCATTGTGATTGGATGATCCTGTGAGTTGGGAGATGTCATCCATAATGTGGCCTGATTGGATCAAGAAGCATTAGAAGTTTAGCAAGTTCTGGACTCTTAACACCTTTGTCTTTCAGATAATCAAAAGACAGATGGTCACTGTCTCAATAGCCACTTTCTGATGAGCTAAAGAAAAGGGTCGAAGTTTAGTGTAAGCTTTGCAGCATTTGATTATAATGGAAATTATTTTCCACAAGTTAATTTCCACAACTTGCAAGATTTACCGCTGATCACTACATTACCTGCGACTTGTTTGTGTTCTGATCACACATGCTTGGTTGTATACTACATCAATAAAGTGTTTAGTCTTTTAAAAACACTGTAGTAATAGATTGAGTCACTAAACATTGTTCTTATGTTTTTCTACTTAAGGAAAATGCTAATTACTTCCAAATACTTCAGAAATAGTCTGTGTTAGTCAATGCAAGGCTATTTATGAAATCCAGGCACAAAACTGTATGAAAACAATTCAGATGACTGTATTATAGCCTACAGCTAATCAATCTGTAAGATTCTGGAGTGCTTTGCAGTTCTAAAGAAAATTATATATATATATATATATATATATATATAAACCATATTTTTATCAGCTGTAAAACTGGCCAATTTACCAATGCAGTCAGTGAACTACTGGACTTCCTGTAGCCAGCCCCCAAAGGTGAGTTTAAATAATGTAAACTTGAAAGAGATGTTTGACGGTTGGTCAGAAGTGATGATTTATTTATGTATGTATATGTATATATATATATATATTCCCTACATCTAACATCTGATTCATGCAATGCTTGTATTGTATCATGATGTATTGTCTTTTAGATACACTTTTAGAACTGTGAGAACCTATAAACTTGCATTATATTTGCCTTTTTTAATTTCATGAATAAAGTGTTAGTGTGAGTAAATAACAATAATAATAATTATTATTTATATTATTTGGATCTATCTTTTACTTGAAAGCTGTCTGACATGTTCAGAATGAAAGTTTTTTGATGCTGGGTAAAGATTGCATGTTCTACTGTAAGTACCAGGTTGTTTTCCTTGTACTATGTGTAACTACACCACTGAGTGTTTTATATCCTCTCATGATAAACAGTATTTCTGCTTTTTGAATCTGATCTTATATTGAGCTAAAGTCGTTTTGACAGAGAGAGGAGCAAATGGGGCAGTCATGTAAATATTGAAGACAGAATGAAAGTAAAGTCTTTCATCATTTATGATGTAACAGGATAAGACCATTTTTACTGCATATATTTTGGTCTCAGTAGTGGTAAACATGGCGATAGTGGTAAACAAGTCATTTAAGGATATTTTCCTTTAAAATATTTAAAGCCATTTTGCACCTTTGCACTTTGTTTGTCTGTATTGACAGGAAGCAGATACTGATGACCAGCAGGGCACACTGACGTTTGAGGAGTTCACGGTCTTCTATAAGATGATGTCATTAAGACGAGACCTTTTTCTATTGCTCATGTGCTTCAGCGACAAGAAGGATCATCTGACTGCAGAAGAACTCGGGAACTTTCTGCGTGTGGAGCAAAAGGTCAGTGTAATATATCTCACTGCTCCAAGCATACTTCTTACACTTAATATTGTGTCTCTCCATTTACAATGTTTACTCTCATGCAGAAATGAGGTTTGGATCCATGTTAAGGGCCAGAACAGACATGTTCCAGTGCAGGCACGTGCACATCATGCAGTGCACATGCCCTTTTTTGTCTTGGATACAAAGTGCACTTTCAAATTTATCTGAAGTGCCCCCGCAACAACCCCCCCCCCCCCTCCCCCGCTCTTCAAATATTTTATATTGCACATGCCCCATGGATAGTCTCTGCACGGCGCTGTTCCAGTGCATGTGTCTGTATTAGGATTTCATGCTTTTATGAACATGCATGATATTCATAAACTCAGTCTGACACAGTTGTAAATCCCATATATGTTAATATAAATCCTGACTGATGTTCTGGAACCACCTCTGATGTCTTACACAGTCTGCTGTTTTTACTCAAGTGTTAAGACTCAATGTGTACACTTTACAGGGAAAAAGACTCATCATTAAAGTTCCTTAATTATCAATTATCACAATATCAGTAGTAGTTCTTAACCTTCTTCAATAAGCCGGTGAATTGGAAATATATAAGGGCTTCATGGTTTAAATCGAGCATCTCTGATTGACAAATAGGAGCAAGATCATGGCTCATTATTTTGTGCCAAAAATCATGTGAGAATTGGCAAAAATCACATTTAGCAATGCAGAATCACAATCAACATACAGTATATCTTTCACCAACCACCACATTTGATATTGTGAAAATATTGAAGTAATCAGGAGAAATCTGTATAGACTGTATAGAGTAAGGCAGGGGCCCTCGGCTGAATGCGCTCTACTTTTAAGCCTCAGATGACACAGCATGAGAAACTGTCATGTGCTAATAAAGCCACATGAGCACAGGAGAACTTCAGAAAAACCTCTGCAACTGAACACAGTGTGCTGCTGCAGTAAGAAATGACACTTGACTGGTACATCAGTTGTGTGCAGTAGTAATGCCGCCAGTTCTTAGGGTCTGAGCTGATTTCAGATGATCAAGAACACACTGGAGATGTGATCTGGGCTCAGAAGAGTCCATATTTCTGTTTTGTTTTTGAAAACAAAAAACAAAAAAAACAGACATTGAGATTTCAGTCTCAAAGTTCACAAAGACCATCCAGTCATTCATGAGTGACAGATTCAAAAGCAAAGATCTGTCAGATATAGCAAAGCAATGGGTGTGAGAAATATATGCACAAGTATCATTGACTCGGAGGCATATATATATATATATATATATATATATATATATATATATATATATATATATATATATATATATATATATATATATATATATATAGGGGCATCAAGCTGGTGTATTTCATGGTCAAGTTTCATTCTGCATGTGCTTTAGCAGCTTGAATTTGTAGACACAAAATGGATGCTCTTTACTAGTTGAAAATGTATGACTCATTACAAAAAAGAGAAACAGATAATAATGACTATGGACTGTTGAACAAGTATATTGTATTAGGTCAGAATGGGCAAAGAAAATTGCTTGTGAAACTTTAAAAGTTGTATAATCAATTAGCAGTTGAATAACCATTCAGGGGCGACATGGTTGCACAGTATGTTGTGTTGTTGCCTCACAGCAAGAAGGTCGCTGGTTCGAGCCTAGGCTGGGTCAGTTGGCATTTCTGTGTGGAGTTTACATGTTCTCCCCTTGTGGGTTTCCTCCGGGTGCTCAGATTTCCCCCACAAGTCCAAAGACATGTGGTACAGGTGAATTGGGAAGGCTAAATTGACCGTAGTGTGTGTGATTGTGTGTAGGTGTTTCCCAGTGTTTCCCAGTGATGGGCTGCGGCTGCAAGAGCATTTGCTGCATAAAAACGTGCTGGATAAGTTGGCAGTTCATTCCACTGTGGTGACCCCAGAATAATAAAGGGACTAAATAAGAAAATTAATGAATGAATAACCATTTGATAAAAAAGAAAGTTGACGTAACACACACTGTAAAAAAAATCTGTAATTTAAAATTTACTGTAAAATAACAGAGGTTGAATTACAGATATTTAAATTTAGGGAAATTTCTATAATTTAATGGCCGTTATTTTACGTTTTTTTTTTCCCCCGCACCCCAGCTACTGGAAATAAACCGTAAAATTTCAGATTTTTTTACAGTGCAGTGTTAAACGTATTTGTCCTAAAATTTTTGGAATATTGCAGGAATCATAATTAAAATTTGTGCTGCTGCTGCTGAGAAAGTAACACACATGAACCTCAATAAAAAAGATCTGTATGTAGGAGTAGCCAGTGATGGAGCTAGAATTTTAGGTGGCCAGGGATTGGCCGCTGCTATTTCAGGGGGTCCACACAAACACACTGTAGTGTAGACTATACTCACACACAGAGAAAAAAAATCAATTAAAGAATTAGTGTCAGTTAAAGACACTAAATATTTTTCCAGAAAGCTAAAGAACCAAAGAGCTTGCAAACAATGTCTGTTACGTTGCATCCCCATATTGGCAAAATACTAAAACTTATATATATTTTTTCTTTACTTTATCTATGATAAATGGCTTTTAATACAGTCTACATTGTCTACAAAGCACCTTATAAGTAAAGATGAAATATGTGGTTTGAACTTGGATTAATAAAATGATATATTAATGCCAAATCCATTATACAATTTGTTCAAAGGTCCTATTTGCAGGCAAGCAGAGCCCACAGTTTGAATTCAATGTAAGAATAACAACGTTTACCATGAACAATTTCTCCCATTAAATGGTTGAATGTGGAAAACTGAGCAAGATAATTTAAGACTACATTACACTTTCAATACTAGACTACTTAGTTTGCTTAAGAAAAAAAAAAGTTTGAACCATTCTAAGCAAGCAGTATCAGAAAGTGAACTGCACATAACACATTAACAAGACACAAATACATTAACAACACACACGCACACACACACACACATACACACACACACACACACACACACACACACACACACACACACACACACACACACACACACACACACACAAGCACACACACATTCACATACACACACAAAAACAAGTAGTTAAGTGAGAAAACAGTTAAACAGACCAACTGCAGCGAGGCTATAAAACAAGCCTCCACCGTTTCTCCTCTTTACTTTCGTGGACAAGGAAACAGTGTTGTATGAACTCCCATCAAAGACATGCATTAGCCTAATATTTAATTTTATTTGTTAAGCGCAAAGATTTCCACATATCCAAACACAAATTATATTCTTACTGTGAGTTCACACCGAAAGCGGTGAGAGCATCGAAGGTTGCTCTGGCCGCCCTGGTGACAATGCTGTCTGCCTTCAGCTCAGGCGGCAAGAGTGTCATAATTCGCTACATTGATCTGGTATTTAAAGGGGCCATTGCAGCATATCAGTTACATTCCTGCATAAAACATGTTTTCTAGCGTGAAAATGTTGCACACTTCTTATCAAATTCATTTAACAACGGAAGTTGTACGAGTTGCATGGGGTATGCCTTTGCTCCACTTAATTATCCAATGTGTCTATATGTCTGAAATATCCTGAAGCAGCAGTACTGTTTTGTACTGTCGCATGAGATTCCCACTTTTTTTTATAAATATGTATATATATGTATATATATAACAATAATGCACATCAGTAACTCGCCAGTAACTTATTTAATGCATGTTCCTGTAAGACAACATTGTAAATAACAAAAAATCCGGCGACCACAATAATCAAACCTTTGGGAACAACTGTGGTCGGAACCAAAGTTCACAGGTCTGTGTTCCCTGAACTCCTCTTAAGCGGTGGAATTCTTCATTCTGATTGCTTGCCGCCGAACTGCGTCAAAGCTCATTACCATAAAGTTGACTTGATTTCAACTCTCCTCGACGCCCACACCGGTAAAGACGCACCGCGCTGCTCCTCGCCACTCATCGCCGCTGGCTCTCATTGAAAATGAATGACTTCCGTCTACTTTGACACTCTTGCCGCTTTCGGTGTGAACCTATGGTTATGCCCCATATGGTCCAAAACCCGACAGGAGGACAAATCTAAGCTTGTTTTTATTAAAACAAATAAATATGCCTAAAATAAATTATTTCTCAGTCTATTTTATTTCCTCAAAATAGCAATGCGCCAACTATGCACCATAACACACTCATGAGTCAACAAAGCTGCGCAAATGGATTTGCTATTTAAACAACGTGGTGCAAAATGAGAAAATTAGGGTTGCATTGGTCTGAAAATAGCAGCAAATCACGCCAAATACGTCTTGCGGCTTTTTGTGCCGGGTATATGATAGGGCCTTTAGTGTATATATATATATCTGTGTGTGAAAATAAACATTATATGTAAATTTAGCAAATTATAAAACAGGATTTCAAAAAACAGAATTTAATTGCTTAGGTTCTATTCTTATTATTTGACTTTTTATTCTTATTCTATTATTTTTCTTATTTTGTTGCCACTAATATTTTATACATATATTTGGCCAGATTGTACATTTGTTCAGTGCATTTATATCACCCCATTTTAAAAGTAGTACTTTCCCTATTCCAGTTCAATATCAGCCTGGGCTCTTGGGTATTCCTTAAGATTCAGAAAGTGAAAGGCTTTGCCTCTATTAGCCATTATAATGGCTTTCCAGCTGAGGCTATGAACAGCCCCAGTGTGATGCTAAAAAAGCTTCTCTGTGCCCCTGCTCCCTCTCTCTGCCCACACACGGACCACGAAGCCCTGGGGGGAGTTGTGAAAAGAGGGAAAGGATGCAGACAAAACAGAAGGATGAAGTCATTTAGTGACAGAAAGGCAGTTTGGAGGGTTTTTGTGATCTTACTTTAAGAGGAGTTGACCCTCAGAGACTAAATGATTGACATGTTATGGATCCTATCTGGAAGAGTGGCATGAGATTGACCCTCTCTTTTCATTTCTTGTGTGCTTTCTTGCAGATGTCCAGTGTGACCCCTGAGTGCTGCCTGGACATAATCAATAAGTTTGAAGTCTCTGAGGAGAACAAGCAGAATGGAGTTCTTGGAATCGAAGGTGAGGATTGTGTTTTGCCAGACTTCTATTTTCTTTCCCTGTTTTCCTAATTTTATCTTGGACTATTTGTTATAATGTCATAATAACTACAATTAATTAACTACTGTTACATTATTACTACTCAATAAAGAATTCATGTGTATAATAATAATAAAAATAATATCCCAGTCAGGCATGATGCTATGACCAACCTCAAGCATTGTCACTGCAAAAACCAGTATATGAACCATCCATTGTTACTGTACGATGCTATCAAATGGGGAAAACCGCTGACTTTTGACAAAGTTGAATGAAAGGACTAACTGTGATCGTGGAGCACCTCAGAACTTCTGTCTCAGATTGACAGTCTGAATTGTTCATAAACTGCTGCGCTGAGTATGTTTCAAAAGTGGTGCAAAGATGGATAAGCTACAGTGCAACAAATCAACAGCAGTTACAACAGTGGTGACCGGGGCAATGTGTCACAATACATCTGGTCACACTTTATTTTGATGGTTCGTTTGTTGAATTTAAGTCACATTGTATCTACATGCCAACTAATTCTCATTAGATTATAAGTAGACTGTTAGTTTAGGGTTAGGGTCAGGGTAAGTTGACATGTACTTTCAAAGTTTCTTATAGTCAGTTTAATGTTTGTTGAAGGAGCATTATCAACAGATGTTAAGCAGACAGTCTACTAATACTCAGTTGAATCATCCAAATAAAGTGCTACCTCCAAGTCTTTTGTGTTAAAGCCTGTGTAGCTCATGACCCAGCCTGTTTCTCATGGTACATCATTGCCAACAATGCATGAAATAGGCCTAAGATCATCAATTAAACCACTGATGATTCTGAGTGACAAACCAAGATTCCTGGTGCATTATGTCAATGGTTGAGTGCAGATTCGTCGATAACGGAGGGCGTGACAACCATTCATGACAACAAGATACTGCAAAATACCAGACTGACAGAAACTTTAAGGATGGTTCAAACGATATGCTAATTCATTTTTGTTTATGCCTTGACCTCTTAATCCCCCCACCCCCTCACCCTCTGTATGTAGGAACTGTAGGTCCTGATGTTGACATTGTGGTATCATATATCACACAAGATCTATTACCACATCAATAAATCAATGCCTCCTTTTATAACTCCTGTTTTGTGGCATAGATTCTCCTGGTTATTAGGTGAGTGGTCATACTGTTATGCCGGATCAGTGTATATAGTTACCATACATCTAAGGTCAAAAAATATTGTCAAACCATACAAATATGCACTTCTACATGTTTGTTATGCAGCTATTATTCTACTCTGATTTCGGGAATAACTTACATCTATGGTTGGGTTAGAGGTAGGGAATAGGTATAAATTATATTTTCCAACTAAAATGATTTTCAGGATCAAGATAGATGTTAATCCAGGATAAGATCATACTTTGCAAAATCATGACATGTAAGGTGCCTATTAGCATTGCGGTTCTGTTTGTTAAAATATTAAATATAAACCGATACTTTCCTTAGAAAACACCACTAACTAAATAAATAAAAAGCTTTAACTTATTGATGCTAGCCAATTTAATTTTGCATCCTGTAATTAAGAGTCTGAAATGGCATTTTTGTTTTTAACGGGGGTCACAGTGCTATTCACATGTGCAAAGCACATGTTTAGCCTAAGGCTAAACTTGCAGGATGTAAGCATGATTGTTTAGGTAGAAAATAACAATACATCGGCGCAATAGTCTAGTGGTTAGCGCTGACAGTGGCACGTCAGGGCGTCCTAAGTTCGAATCCTGGCTCGAGGACATTTCCCAACCCTACCTCCCTCTCTCTCTCCCACTTTGCTTCCTATCTCGATACCTTCCTATCTAATAAAGGCAAAAAGGCCAAAAATAAATCTTTAAAAAAAAGAAAATAACAATGCCGAGCGCAAAATTATGGACATCTGTGTTTAGGTTGTGCTTTAGATTTTTAGCTTCATCAATACTATATTGCTTTGCACAATTATAAGGTCTCAACTACTCCACGCAAAGTGTTCCCCAGTGCTCTGTACTCAGCCCATTACTGTTTATTATTTAGGTCGTGCCTCTTGGACATTGGATGCTCTTCCAGACTCTCGGAAGGTATAGAAACTAAAAATGTAAAACAGGAAATATGTTGGGACCATTGTTTTTGTTTACATCCCTCAAAATGCTCTATAGTCCCATTTTTTAAGTCTGAATTTGAGCAAGAATGAAATTTTCAACTTTATTTTTGATCCTCCAACGCTAAAAAAAATATAACTAATTTCTATATAGATAACTTCATTGTTTTGACAGCCAAAAGATGCAGAATCATTACTGCATTATTTTATTACATCATGCATCAACTACTGAAATGCCCTTTTTGCTGGATTACCAGTGCCCTAAATTCTCATCTACAACATATTAAAAATGCGAAGCTAATCTGTGCTGATTGGACCGATGACAGTCTGTTGTGATTGATCGACACTGACGAGACAGAGTGAAATGCCCAGCAGCAAACCAACAATTTAAAAGTAGTCAAAGTGCACACACACTTTATAGTGTAAGGCGTGGATTTTGGCTGCCAGTGCGTGAATGTAAATACAGATGATGGAATTAAAAATACAAACGACTAACTATTTTATTGAGCAAAAACTCCAAGAACTGGCGAGGAGATCTCCTAGCTTGTTACACTCTGCTCTTTTCACACACACACACACACACATTGCCCTCCTCCTCGGACGACAACGCGCACGCACACACACACACACATACACACACATAACCCTCCTCCTCGGGACAACGCACACACATAACCCTCCTCCTCGAACGAAAACACACGCGCACACACACATATTACCCTCCTCCACGGAGGTCCGTAAACAAAGCGGCACGCGTCGCGTTTTTTACTGGGCTTTACACGCGATATGAGAATACAGCGAGTTAACCTGATACAGTACACGCGGTTAGAAGTAACAAATCACAACTAAATACATTTGCAAGTTAGAGTAAACGAGGCAACAACTTTAATTGCACATACTTACACTTGAGAAATGGTGGAAGAAACTGATTCAGGTTCTGACATAGTCCATCACTACTCTTTACTGATCCTTCCTTTAACAAACGTCCGAAGAAGTCTTCTTTGTAGCATGTAGTTTCCAGAAGCACTCAAACTGCTCAAGGCTGGGCTATAATGCTGATGTTTTATCTTTAGGTAGGGACTCAATAATATCCATCTGCACTTTGCGACTTCATTTGATCGGCTTGCGTGCGTGGTTTCAAATCTCCCAGGTTTGCGTGTGCAACTACTTGGTTTCGTTATCACGTCATGGCGAAACACCTAATGACTCGTTATCAAGACGACTCGTTTAAAGCAATATGAGTCGACTTTTATAGATGAATCAACAATTTTAAACACTGTACACTTACAGATTTAAGCCTTAGCTGGATAATTCACTTCCCTTAGAGCTGTGTTACACACTACATGGAAGGGAATTTTCAAAAACCCATAATAGGGGCTCTTTAACCAAAAGGGCTAAAACAAGCCATGTGTAAGTTAACTGTCCTTACATTGGTCAGAGTATCAGGATTTATTTTGCAGAGTCCCGCTTACCTGTCAAGTGTCCTTATTTTAATTTATGGCGATGGGCAATAAGACATTATAAGTGGAAAGCTGCGCTTTAATTTGAATGGTGATGCCCACAGAAATCGTAACTAAGTATAAATCAGAGGTAAGACTCTCTCATACAGAACCCTTGGCTAGACTGCAGTTCGGTCAACATTTTCAATGGATAAACAGCTTTGTTAATAGTTCAGCATGCTTTCACTTTTGTATTTGAAATGCACATTTACTGATATAGCCGGGCTTGGATCGTTTTGTTTTTCCACTACAATCGATCCGCTCCAGAGTCCTTTCCAATCGAGGCGAGACCACCTCATTCTGGCGATTTCAGACCAATAGATTTGGCATAGATCCAAGTGTGATTGCTGGAGTCACATATGCCAAACAAACTGCGCTAGCTGGGCAAACGAGACAGGTCCTGAAACAAAAGTCTAGGTGTCAAAGCACTCTTATCAACTTAAAGCCTACTTTTTTACACAAGGCTAACTCTCATAATTGTCTTACCAGATGTTATGCTTTGTCTAAGTATTGTTCCTCACGTGTTGTTTTGAACATGCTTTGATTTTCATTCATTTGAATTAATGAAATCACAAGTTACTGTTTCATTTGAAAATGCTCATGCAGACACTCCCAATAGATGGTCCGCCTTGTGATTGGCTAAATGTTACTTTACTCAAATATATGTAACACACTTGGATTGGACTATTCAGATTTTTGTTTGCTTTGTGACACACATTATCTGTGGCTGTGATGAGACTGTGACTGCAGCTGTTACACAAACTCCTACATGTTTTTTTTCAGTGTCTCACAGTTTGAGGACATGAATAGGCTGTTTTGATTGATTTTAAAGTGTTAAAGCAGAAGTCTTCAACCCAGCCCTTTGGGACTCACTATCCTGTTGAGTTCAGCTCCAGCCCTAATTAAACCCAACTGAATCAGCTAATCAGGCTTTTCAGATCATTGGAAAATACCCAAGCAGGTGTGCTAAAGCAGGTTGAAATATACTTTGCAGGACAGCGGGCCCAGCGGAGCAGGGTTATATGTGTGTGTGTGTGTGTGTGTGTGTGTGTGTGTGTGTGTGTGTGTGTTTGTGTTTTTTAGAGCTTTATTTATTGGGTCCATGAGCACTGTTCACTAACAATAAATCACTGGTTACCCTCATTTCCCCTAAGCTAAATAAGACACAGGGACTTGTGGTTGAGGTTGGCTTCCTGCTAGAGAAAATCTGATGGAACTGATTCATCTTTTATAGCTTGAGATTTTTGCTAAATGACAGAAAAATGCCAGAGTGGGCTATAGTAGCTACAATATGCTTTATCTTACCTGTTGATTGTAACAAAATACAATGAACTTGTGTTTGTTAACCACCAGTGTTTTTTTTTTTAACCACGTAAACTGATGTAAAAGCACACATCTTGTCTGAGCTTTTCCCCCGGAGAAACGTCAGTCTATAGTGATCAATGATTGGCTACTATAGTAGTCCAGGCTTCATATTGACTGTTACACTCTTCCCTATTCAAAACTAAACGAGTGACAAGTCTTGTGTATTCTATAGTCTTTGAAATTAATAATCAGAAATTGAGTTTTATTAATGTTAGGAAATGCACTAAATGCCTTCATAGTAGATGATCTGTACTTAATATTCTACTGATTTTTGGCATAAAAGAAAAATAACTTAGATCCATAAAATGTATTTTTTGCTATTTTCAAAAACATACCCATACAGTGTAAGACTGCTTTTGTAGTCCAGGGTCACATATTTTGACTACACATATTTTTGTTTACTCTCTTTGTATGTGTACATATTGAGAAATTAGTGCTGAAGTGCTCAATTAAGTTTCCTTTGATTACTTATATACTAATTTACTTATGTATGTTAATTTCTGCTGGACAAGGACAATCTGCTAGTAGAGATAGGGTTTTGCATGTAAGCGTGTTTCACTACCTCCATGACTGAGTGTGTGATGCATTTCCCAGTGATTTGTTTTCCATTAGGGGCTTGTCAAGCTGCAACGAATTTATTTGGCATACAACTGCTGCACGCCATTTGCACACAGCCTTATTTTTAGTCTAAAACTCCATTTTAGATGAGAGCAAGAGGGTAAAGCTTTTAAAAAGTCACTGTCTTTCATTTAGATTTTTTTTATTGAGTCCATTGTTTAAAGGTGCTTTAGGTGATTGTCTTCAGAAACATTTTTGGTAGTGCTCTTCACAGTCCAATAGTAATGATTAAAGTAAATGATCTAAATGTATTTAAATGTATTTCTGGGTAAGGCATAAAAGTAAAAAATGTTTATTCAATTAAATATTGTCGGGTCGACATCTCCCATAATTCTGGTAAGTAGTTTAAACCGTTCTGTCAACAAATGCAGATTTGGGCTTTTGCGCATCTCTGTTCATGGAGATCCGCCATTCCCCTGCCTGCATGAGCGCCGCACATTCACGACACGTGCACACGAAACAATCACAGATGCGGTGAAAACAAATTCTGAATTGAAACTTTTGAAAATCCTAAATCAATATTGGAGTTACTTTTCCACACTTGAGGAAGGACGACGCCATAGCTGAAGTATTACTGTTAGACAGGTAATGTTCTGTTTTAAAACTATTTTAGTCAGGCTAAGCTTATGTTAGATTGTGTTATGTATGAATGGGTTATAGTCACAGTAGTGTTGTTCAGCCACTGAAATCTCCAGGTGAAAGATTGATGTGACTATTTTCAGTTTTATAAGGGACCTTTGACAGCATCGATAATGTAGATTTTTATTTAATTTAACAACAAAACATCAGTAAATAGCAGAATTCCACCTAACCTGCTTTATTAAGGTGAAGTTGCTTTTATATTGACATTGGTTAATTTTTGAACAATGACAGACTTACTATAGTGTATACCATGCTTCTCTGAATATTCGCTCTGAAATAGCATGTAAGTATAGCTTAGCAATAAATTTAACAATAAGGGCTCTATTTTGACGGTCCATGCGCAAAGTGCAAAGAGCAGGACACAAAGGCATTCAGGGCGTGTCAGAATCCACTTTTGCTAATACAAGGACGGAAAAATCCTCTTTGCGCCGTGGTGCATGGTCTAAAAGGGTTGAGCTTATTTTCTTAATGAGTTATAGGTGTGTTTTGCGAATAAACCAATCAGAGTCTTATCTCCCATTCCCTTTAAGAGCCAGTTGCATCGCGCCATAATGCATTTGCTATTTATATGATGACTTTGTAAGCGGAAAAAATGAGCGTTTCACTAGCAAGAAAAAGAGTTAAACAAAGCATCTGCAGCGCGAGAATGAGAGATAAGGCCTCTCATTATCTACTTTCACTTTCGCTCTTGTGGATAGGAAAACCTTGTAGGCCCAGATATCAATTAGCCTATAAAAAATTAATTGAGTTTATTAAGCGCAAAGATTGGTTTCAAAACGATTTCTAAATTTAGCTCTAATTTCCAGCAAACGAATAAATGAACAGTAATAACAAAGCCTTTTCAAAAAACTGAGTTTTATCCAAAACACATCCTGTGCCCCATATGGTCAAAAACCTGACAGGTGGACAAATCTAAGCTTGTTTTTAATAAAACAAATATAAATATGGATATAATAAATAACACTGCTAATAATGATAACATTATACAAAAGCAAATTGTCATGAATAAACTAAAAAAATCCTCCTGTGCGTGTGTGTGTGTGTATATACTAAAAATTTAATTATTTTTCATGGGTAAAGACATTTGCTTATTGCTCTACATCATGTGTGTATTAAGCAGTGTGTAAGCAAGGTGCACAACTAACCTGCTCTGCGCTGGACAAGAGACCGGCTTTGTTCTGGTCTATTGAAAAATCTATTATAGTTTCTCAAAATAGCAACGCGCCAGCAGTGCGCCTCAGAACGCCTTCCTTTTTAGACCAGAACGCCTATGGGCACACATATGAGCGCAAATGCATTTGCTATTTAAACAGCTAGTGCAAAACGTCAAAACGACTCTTGCGCCAAACTAAAACTAGCAAACAACAATTGCGCCGCGCCTTGTGCCACATTGCGCCGGGTGTATGAAAGGGCCCTAACTGTTACATATCTAACTGTCGACTGACATGAACTAGTGGGTCGTCTGGAGTTCTGACAGCGATTTCAGGAGGCGTGGCTTTGTAATCACAGTCCCTCCCCGCCGTCCAAAGATAAAATGCTAAACGGTTAGCATTTTGTCAATCACCTACTGCACTTTTAATGATTTTGCAATGCAAGCAATACGTCTTTAATTGTTTGACTGAATTTTAAGCTTTGAAAAAGACATTTTAAGAACTACTTTTAGAAAAATTGTTATGCTTTCTTGTATGTAATGTACAGCTCAACCTTTTCAGGTACCCCTTGACCACAAAACCAGTCATACTTGTCACTTTCTTTTTTTTAAATTGAGATTTATGTAGAATCTAAAAGTTGAATAAATGTATACTTTGTTAGGATAATATTTGGTCAAGACACAACTATGTGAAAATCTGAAATCTTCAAAAAACTAAATACTGAAAAAAATTACTTTTAAAGTGGTCAAAATTAAAGGGCCATGAAACCCTCCTTTTTCGGTTCAAGTGTACCTAAAAAAGGCATTTTTTTAAAAAAGGCTTTATGATGGGCGTGGATTGCTGTAAGCGGAGGGAGGAGTGAGTGTGGCCACAGAGCAGGGGAAAAAAGGGGGGCAAAAAACTGTTGTCAGTTTGTTTAAAAAAGGAGACACAAACCCTGAGGAGTCCAATTATTTTATAGTTTACAAAGTTAAAATACAAAGAAATAAAGTAAATTATTTAATGCCCTGCTAAATATGTTATTCATAGTTTCATATACACATAACCACAATTTGTTATCATTATAAAGATAATCATGTTTATAAAAAAAACACTAGAAATGTGGTGGACTTCTCTCTGAATGCAGACACAATGGATAGCAGTGCAGCAAATCTCTTGCCCTATCTATCTCAATCATTAGCCCTGCCGGTAATCTGGAGAATTTTAAACATAGGCAAACACAGCAGCATGGATATAGACAATGTGTCTGAATGGTAACGAAGTCAACTGATAAAAAACAAAGTCCGCCTTTCTCCATTTCTCGTACAGCTTTCTTGACAAAAATGCTTGCTGCAAACCAACAGCTTTGCTGTATCGGCCCTGACAGCATCACGGGGAAAAACATGCAACAAACCCTATGAATCATGGAAACATAAACATACAGTATGTCCCTTTGTAAATGGCTAAATATTGAGTGCAATGTGCGGATGCGGTCTCAACCAGTCATTGGGTCTCAGCACTTGGCAGGTCTGCCTTGCCTTCGGAAAGCACGTGCTCTCATGAATAATTAAGAGACAGGGTCTTCTCATAGGATAAGAAAACACACTTTGATTGATAATGAGAAATCGGCAACTCATCACTCCACTAGCAGATTTGCAATACATCACCGATTTTGATCCTGCCCCAAAAAATATTTTAAACCCGGAAGATGAAATTAACTGACAAAAGCTCAAAATGATCCAGTTTTCCTCACATTTAAATCTGACAGTTGCTAACATTGTCTTAAATGATGCTCAACACACACAAATCTGTTACTTTTTTTTTTTCAAAGTACTTGAGGGTTTCTTGAACCTTTAAGTTGTTAGCAATACACTATTATACTAATTAAAATTGAGTTTTTATATATTTATGAAAGTGACTTAACAAAATATCATATATTTAACAAAACAACGTGATCTTTCTTAATATTCTAAGGATTCCTGGCATACAAGTAAAATCATTAATTCTGACCTGTACAATGTAGTTTTAGCTATTGCCAAAAAGATAACTGTGACTTAAGATAATAAGGTTTTGTGTTCCAGGGTCACAAATAGCAAACAGCTAGAACTGTAGCAGCAATCTACCTCTATTCTGCTATCTGTTAGATGAACTGAAAATCTCTTACAAAAAATATATATAGTTATTTGACTTCTTATAATTTTCTCATTTATCCTTGCAAAAGAAGCTTTTATACAGTCTGCATTGTATATAGCACTTTAGAAATAAAGGTGAATTGACTTGGCAGCTGTTTTCTGTTTTCTTTCCTTCACCTAGGCTTCACCAACTACATGCGGAGCCCAGCCTGTGATGTATTTAACCCTCAACACCACGAGATCAATCAGGACATGGATCAGCCTATTTGTAACTATTTCATAGCTTCCTCTCATAACACTTACCTGACTGGAGACCAGCTGTTGTCTCACTCCAAGACAGACATGTATGCATGGGTCCTGCAGGCTGGCTGTCGCTGTGTGGAGGGTAAGAAAACACTTTATAAATATATAAATCTCTCAAATACCTGAAAATAAGTTACTCCTTGTTCTGATTGTGACTTGATTTGGTTTACAGTGGATTGTTGGGACGGTCCGGATGGGGAGCCTATGGTCCAACACGGTTACACTCTGACTTCGAAGATCACCTTTAAATCTGTCATTGAGACCATCAACAAATACGCCTTTGTAAACAACGAGTATGTACTTCCAGATTGTTCCTTCTATTATTTAGGATAGTCACTTGTGATCAGAAATTAGTTGATGTAGTATCTTTAAAAGCAACCGCTGATGGGGAAAGTTCATTCCAAAGAAAAACCTCGAAAACAATACAGTATTGAGAGATACACACTCTGTTACATTAAAGCCCTAAAAAGGTACTTCATTTTACTACATGTGAGTCATCATGTTGACAAAAGGTCAGTGTGTGAACGGCCTCATAAAACTTTAAGCAGGTGCTCCATCAAGTTAAAAACATACGCAAACATAAATCAGCACACTGACACTATCAATTTACCTTCATGGTCTTCATCGTGTCACACAGGCAAAACAAGAAATCCTTAAATATATCTTTAACCACATCATGGACCTGATGAGCACAATAAAGTTAAAATGTTGTCTTGATAAATTATCTTTTTAGAGTAATAGTGGCAGTGTGCCGATTTATGTCTGCTTATATCTTCATCATGTGACACACTACATCACTGGTATCTGTCATTTATTTTGTTAAGCCCGGACAAAGATCTATAGCGGCAGTGGAAACCAGCTATGTTGCCACCTAGCGTTGGCCACATCTAGTTCCATCTGAACCAAAAAGCTGTGTGCGAACATGCCAAACGTTTGACAGCTGACTGAAAATAGAATGTACACCTGCATGAGACGATGTATCTGTCACGTTATGGTAATTATACAAAGTCAAATGAATCCAAGTGCAAGTGAAAATTTATCAACAATAAAGAGTTCAACAATAATGCTAGAGAAGATAGTCGTAAAATCAGGAATCATAACAAGACATCAAGGAAGCCAGCCCAAGCAGATCCAGTCAAGACACAGAGAGATCATAAAACAGTGTAACGAACTGACAATGAAGTCCTGTCTTGTTCTTAAATAGGTGAGCTATTTTGTAAACAAAACACATAACAGAGCACATGGAATGCCGTTCTACATGCAGAATTGAGCAAACTCCCGCAAACATGAACCCAATGAAAAGCTATATCTTAAACACATCAAACAAACTCGCCTGACCTACCTTTACAGACAGCCTGATACTGCCAAATAGACGCCCAGCGGGTTGGCGTTTCCCATCGTTTAAAGATTATTGGTTAATTAATGGTTAAGTAATAGCAGTATAGCAGACATACCTGCAAAACAAAAATAAATGCTAAATATATTCCTAAAATAGCCATCAATAATGGCTAACACTAGAGCAGTAATCGTAGCCAATACATTTTAGAGAACACGAAATTTAGCAATTCTTAAAACCTCAGTTAAATGAGTAACTTAAAACAAAACAAACAAACAAACAAAAAAGAACAAAAAAAGTCTTTACAATTATTGAAAATAATTAAACAAATACATAGAATTAAATGTGTGTGTGTGTGTGTATATATATATATATATATACACAGTTTTTTTTTAAGATTTATTTTTGGCCTTTTTAGGGCAGTGTTGAGACAGGAAGCAAGGTGTTTGTCGGCGCACTAACCACTAGGCTATTGCGCTGACTATATATACACAGTTGAATTCAGAATTAGCCGCCCCTCTGTTTATTTTTTCCCCAATTTCTGTTTAACAGAGAGCAGATTTCTTCAACACATTTCTAAACATAATAGTTTTAATAACTCATTTCTAATAACTGATTTATTTTATCTTTGTCATGATGACAATAAAAAATATTTTACTATATGTTTTTCAGAATACTTCTATACAACTTAAAGTGACATTTAAAGGCTTAAGGTTAATTAGGTTAACTAGGCAGGTTATGATATAACGATGGTTTGTTCTGTAGACTATCGAAAAAAATTGCTTAAAGGGGCTTACTGTCTCATACTGTGAAAATTTTCTTGCTCTGTTAAACATCATTTGGAAAATATTTAAAAAAGCGGGGCTAATAATTCTGACTTCAACTGTATAGAATCAGTGCTTTATGGTGACTCAGTTGGCATTTCTGTGTGGAGCTTGCATGTTCTCCCCGTGTTTGTGTGTTGTTTGCGTGACATGTGCTACAGGTGGATTGGACGAACTTAATTGGTCGTAGTGTATGAGTATGAATGCAAGAGTATATTGGGTTGTGGCTGAAAGAGCATGCGCTGTGTAAAACATATGCTTGAATAGTTGGCGGTTCATTGTGCTGTGGCGATTGCAAATAAATAAGGGACTAAGCCAAAGGAAAATTAATGAATCTGTGCTTTAAGCATAGTTAATGAAGGTTAAACCTGATTTGTTTCTTATTAAAGCTAGAAATGACCTCCAGTCGGATGGGGTTTGATTACTTAAGATAAGCAGAGCAGGAATATAGCCTGCTGTCCCCCACGAATACAATTAAGTGTTCCACATGCATTTTTATTCTCAATTCTTTATTTTCATTATTTAATTTTAAGTGAATTATCACTAAGTGCAATCACTGAATGTTGTTCTAAGTGCAATATTTTTGCTTGTATTTGACCATTGAGGTAAGGGGTGTCCACACTCGGTTCTGGAGGGCCAGTGTCCTGCTGAGTTTAGCTCCAACTTGCCTCAACACACCTGCAAGGGTGTTTCTAGAAAGCCTAGTAAAGACTTAATTAACTAGCCCAGGTTTGTCTGATTGGTGTTGGAACTAAACTTTGCAGGACACCGGCCCTCCAGAACCGAGTTTGAAAACCACTGGTTTAGGTACACACCTTAATCTAAAAGATAACTTTACGTGTCTGTGTTCTGCTCCGTCTCTTCAGCTGAACTCATATTTGTATTTCATGCTTCTAAAAACATGAATACATCTAATACACAACGTACATTTCAGGAGTGATTTAAATACCCTGTCAATCCCATAAATTGTTATTCATTGTGTGCATGGAACCTGACACACTTCCCAAAACTACAATGATTGACACACAATTAACCATAGTAACGTACAGCTAAGAAAGGCATCTTGTGTGTTATTACTCTCTGCTACTTTTATCAAATTTAATATTACAGCACCAAACCTCTTTAATGTTCTGCAGTTTAAACTAAATCATGGACAGCAGTCTCTAATATGGCATGTTAAATAGTCAACGGCTAGAATTTTTGTGTTGCCATGTCTACCAATTAAATGCACATCTGTGCTTGTTTTGGCTAGGCTTATTAATTGCTAACATTTATGGAGTTTGTGCAAATGTAGGTTGAAATGTTTTGGTATTATTTTCAATATAAATCTTTTTATGAATCTATTTTGATTTTATATGGGCTTGTTCTTGCACCTCGTTCTGATTTACAGTTCAGTATTTGTGTACTGCAGTAATCTTAACCTTAATATAGAGCACAATTAAAACAACTTACAGTTGACCAATGTGCTCTACAATGTTTTAAAACAAATGTATAAAATAAAAATATAGATCCTATAAACAACAGACAACAAATGACTAGGGTTGGGTATCGTTTTTTTTTTTTTTTTTTTTTTTTTGATACGGGTGCTAAATCGATACTTTTAAAACGGTGCCTGAACCGATACCTTTTTGCCACAAATTTAATCGACAAAAAAAAAATTATATATATATATATATATATATATATAAAAATATATATATAAATATATATATATATATATATATATATATATATATATAAATATATATATATATATATATATATATATAATCACTATCATTATAATTGAACCATATAAATATATATTTATGATAAGTTTAAAGTAAACATCAATTCATATTTTATTTATTTGAATTGCATTAATATATTTCTTTTGATCAATTGTTTATTAGCATAAATGCAAGATTTGCATTATGCTATAAACATTACATTAGCTTACTACTAACTTGTGGAAAGGCTGTCATCAAAATCAGGAGCACCGTATTTCTGGGTTTGGGGCTTGTGACTACTTTTAAATGGACATCAGTGATCTAATGATTTGCTTTAATATGAATAAGACAATAACATGATTCAGGTGTTTACATGAGCTGCTTTTTAAATGTTACATTCATGATTCCCAGCTACATGTTATAGCACATAGATCAGTAACATTATTGTCACCAGCCTGTAAATGTTTTCTCCACAGTTTGTGTCTGTGGTCCTTTAAGATGTTAAAAAATCACTCTTAACGTGGTAGACTCCTGATCAGAGTAGTGTCTTAATCATTTTAAAATCAGAGTATTGGTGTCCATATAAACGTACTCAGATAATGTGTCAGATGATGTCACAAGCTGTCAGAGATGGTCCATTCCTCACCTTTAAGGTGATTCCATGAGCCCTTACATTTTATAAGTTTGACGTGTTTCTCTCTTACTTGCAACTTTTGTAAAACATCTGCTGCATGTTGGTGTGTCAGAATCCTTGCTTAAATTGGTAAAACCATGACTTGATGATGGAATTCATCTGCCAATCAAATTAAAGTGCACTGTCCTAAATGTTGAACATATAATTTCACAGAGGAAGGTAAAATGCCCAAATTTACATGGGAGATGTTTGTAATTTCCTTTCAACCTAAATAGAGTAATTTTACAGTACTCATATAGAATTTTTTTTAACTCAAAACGGTTTGAGTTGCCTTAACTTATTGGATTTTACAGTACTCAGTTGGTTTGAGTTCTCTTCATTTATTGGGATTTACTGTGCCTAAATTTCTTCGTTTACTCAAATGAATTAAGTTCACGGTACTCATTATGATTTTTTTTTAGCTTAAATGTTTTGTTGCAATCAGTTGCCTCAAATGGTTTGAGTTAACTTATTGAGTTTTACAGTATAGGAATTATCATATTAAATTATCAACTTGTATTGTCAGAAAATGATTAAATGTAGTATAAATGTAACATTTAATATAATATGAAAATAAGAAAATGTTTATTTGTTATGTTAAATGTTATTAAAATGCAATTATTTGTAGTTTTATTTAATTAAAAATAAAACATTTAATAATCAAGATGATGAGACCATTTGACAACATTTTATATTAATTATTTAAAAATGAAAGTACTATACCGTAAACGGTATTTTAATGTTTCATAATGTCAACTAAAAAATTTCATGTATGTTCTTTGGTTTTACACCATGTGTGATTGACTGCTATCAAAAAAAGCAGGCATGCAGCGCCTGCGTTTTCTTTTTCTTCTTGATCTGACAATTACCAGATAAGGCAACCAGTGAGGTGCATGACATAAAATTATATTTAATTTGTTGTGGAAAATTGTTTTGTTTTTCACAGTGAGGATAAGTACATAACACAAGATATCTTTCTGTACTAGGGCCTTGATGCACCTAGAAAGCTACCTGTCAGTTTCTATAATGGTGTTTTATCATTAAACAGCCACCTGTTTTAGCTAATGGCACACCATGATGTGGTAAATGAGCTTTTTAGCACATGCACATCGCATGCAAATTACACTTCCCATATTCCATGATACCTGCAGAGCCACCATTGCCATCACTACACCCCTACAGGGTATCTTTTCATTTTTCCATTTCCATTTTTTTCTGATTCTCTTGTTCTTTTCATGGAATGTTTGTGTTTTTGTGTGTGTGTGTGGAATGTCACTCAAAATGTAGTGCTTTTTAAACCTAGAGGGTTCTCCTGGTTCCCTGACAGACGTGACATTCAGGAATAGCTTGTAAATCTCCTTATGTCATTTTCAAAGAGCACAGCAATATTATTCATTGAATTATTTCTTTCTGGGATTTTTTTTTTAAATATCAGGGAGTTTTAAATTGTGATCTACATCCCTAAATGTAACCTTATAACATTATTTATCAGTAAGAATCATTTGTTAAGGAAAATAGGAACCTTATTGTAAAGTCTACACTATTCCAACAGTATTTAATGTGTTGATAACCTTTGTTCTTATTAACCAAGCATTAACATATGTTTAGTTTATGTAACATATTTTGTATTGCTGAATAAATGCATTGGTCATTGCATTTTTATTTGCACGTTTTTTTCTGAAAAAATTTATTATTAAGTATATATTAAATATGTTATAAGTTAAGAACTATTTTTATCTTCTGTGAGTATAGATAAAATATGATAATTCTAATAATAACATATATTTTTAAAAATCATCAAGCAACCCCAGGGGTCCTGACCCCCACTTTGAGAACCACTGATCTAGTCCATGAACAAATATTTTATTGTATGTATAAGTAAACATTAACTAATTAAGCTGTTCATTTAAAGTGATGCATTTTTATAAGAGTAAGTTAACATTAATAAAGTTTATGTAATGCTGAATGTTGTTAATCTTAACTAATGTATTAATTAATACAGCAACATACGTTTATCAAATATTATCATTATTATAATATTAACAGATGTGTAGTTCACTACACTAACATTTACTAAATGTTACTAAATTACACTGTAAAGGGTTACAAAAAGCAATTAAAAGAAAAGATGATCAATTCTAAAATGATTAGAAGCTTATAGGGGCAAAATATTAAAGCATATTATCTAATGTTACTATTTTGTTCTTGATTTATCAGTGCACTAAAAAGAACTCAACAAAAATATTTTTCAAGAGGAAGATTTTGCATTGTGAAATGTGTGCTGTTTTCTTACACGTCTTTGGAAACACACTTGTTTGAAACGTTAGAACATCTAGATTTTGTCAAGAATTTGAGTAGGCATTTCATATACGAAGTAAACAGACCAGCAAGACATCAGATGGCAGGGGAAGAAAGTAAAAGAGAGACACAGTCAGACATTCAGACAGGCATTCAGATGGACTGGAAGGGGGGGAAGAGAAATAGAAGACGACACTAAAGATAAGTCAAGATGAATAAAAATGGATGAAAGGTTAATGTGTGGAGAAGCTCTGGAGGCAGGGAGCATCTGCTGACTGTTCTGGCTGTTCCCTGCTTCGTGATTCCTGTCACCCTCAGTCTTTCTCTCTTCTGTCTCCTGCTGCGTCAGGTTCCCTGTGATCCTGTCCATAGAGAATCACTGCAGCATTCAGCAGCAGAAGAAGATCGCTCAGCACCTCAAGGAGATCTTCGGAGACAAGCTTGATGTGGGGGAGGCCCTGAACAAAGACCCCAAGCAGCTCCCTAGCCCCAATTTGCTGAAGGGCAAGATACTCTTGAAGGTATGATAGGAACTGAAGGCACCTTGTAAGCATGTTCAAGCTTTAGTTTCCTCACTTATCTTTCTTTTATGTTTAAACATCATTGTTGGGCAAGCTACTTGAAAAATGTAGTGAGCTAAGCTATTAGCAACTCTACATAAAATGTAGCTTAACTACACTAACAGCTATGCCCTGGCAAATGTAGTAAGCTAAGCTAAAAGCTGCATGGCAAAAGTAGCTTAGATACAATTTAGCAACAATTTTCATTTTTAAATCAAAGCAACTTAAATCCAAGTCAATCATATCTTAGTGATCAATAAATCTGTCAATGAAACATATGAGGCGTATTAGTTCAGGTCAGTTATTTACTGTAAATATTATGCTGTACTAAACAGAAACAAATTATAGTATATAACAGTTAAAACTAAAAAATCTAATAAAACCAGGTGTTACACAATTAAAATACTGTAGTGATTTATAGTAAAGGAAAATATTTCGGAATAAGCATTATATGAAATATATTTTATATATATATATATGTGTGTGTGTGTGTGCGAAGCAGTGGCGCAGTAGGTAGTGCTGTTGCCTCAAAGCAAGAAGGTCGCTTGCTTGTTGAACATATAATTTCACAGAGGAAGGTAAAATGCCCAAATTTACATGGGAGATGTTTGTAATTTCCTTTCAACCTAAATAAAGTAATTCAATAATTATTTACTGTCATCATGGCAAAGATAAAATAAGTCAGTTATTAGAAATAGGTTTTTAAAACTATTATGCTTAGAAATGTGCTGAAACAATCTTCCCTCCATTAAACAGAAATTGGGGAAAAAAATAAACAGGGGCGCTAATAATTCAGGGGGGCTAATAATTCTGACTTCAACTATATATATATATATATATATATATATATATATATATATATATGTATGTGCGAAGCAGTGGTGCAGTAGGTAGTGCTGTTGCCTCAAAGCAAGAAGGCCGCTGGTTCGATCCTCGACTCAGTTGGCATTTCTGTGTGGAGTTTGCATGTTCTCCCTGCGTTTGCGTGGGTTTCCTCTTGGTGCTCTGGTTTCCCCCACAGTCCAAAGACATGCTGTACACGTGAATTGGGTAGGCTAAACTGTCCATAGTGTATGAGTGTGTATGAATGAGTGATTGTGGATGTTTCCCAGAGATGGGTTGCAGCTGGAAGGGCATCCGTTTTGTGAAAATGTGCTGGATAAGTTGTCGGTTCATTCCGCTCTGGCGACCCCAGATTAATAAAGGGACTAAGCCCACAAGAAAATGAATATATATATATATATAATAAGACTTCAACTGTATACTATTAAATCAAACCAATACATTGTTTCCATTATGAGGCTAAATGATCTTCTTAGAGTAGATGCAATTTTGTCATTGATACTGATGTAAATTTAATCTAATGTAAAACCAGTAAGCTAATTGGCACAATTACCTAAAGCAGGGCTGTTAAATTCAGTTCCTGGAGGGCTGCAGCACTGCACAGTTTAGTTCCAACATTTAATTAGGGTTGGAACTAAACTGCAGAGCTGCGGCCCTCCAGGAACTGAGTTTGACCTATAGAATAAGTATGAATAGAAGGTATTGATACAATTCTGTTAGGGTAGACTCATTAATGCTTGGTTCTGCACATATCATACTCATGCCATTCAAATTTCAGAACTTTCTGGATCATTAAAGAAGGTATTTTGATTTCAAAAATACATCTTTTTTAAACTATGAAGTAATGTAATAGCTTTAAGGTAGCTGACCATCTTTTGCACATTTGTAATGTTCATGCCTGTTTTGTCTTCAGTATATATATTTTTTCTTTTGCCTCATAAACAAACTTTGATTTTCAACTTAAATTTTGGTATTAGTCCTGATGCAAAGCTATTGATTGACATCAGAAGATAAAGAATGCCATTTCTTGGTCTTTTTGGAACTTCTAGACATTTTTGAGAATAGCAAATGATAAGCGAATTTTTATTTTGGCTAAACTGTTACTTTAAGAGTGTAATGGTATGACAGGTGGTCAGTGAGATGAGAAGAGACTATTTCTCTGTGTAAATACGGACGTCACTGTGCCAGCAAGGAGCTTGGTATTAGTAAAACAGGTTAAGACAGATGGCAGTGCCAGCCTGCTACTCTACAGGACCCTCCCATTTGAGCAAACAGTGACGGCACACTCTCAAACCCAGCAGGGACCCTTTGTGATTGGAGCACACTTGAGCAAATCCCCCCACACTGGAACACGGGTCCCCTTTGATTACACACACACACTTAAACATGTCACAGTGTCAGCCTCCTCCACCAGATGAGAGCACTCATCTTGTATTCCTGCAAACTCTGTAGGTCAAAAGCGTGGGATTGATTTTCCTCCGTCTTGTCCTTGTTGCGACTCTTATTTCCCAATAGCTCTCATACAAATGTCTTTGAGAGAGACAGACGACGAGGAGACGAGGGTCTGTGCTTGGAGTTTTAAATGTAACCACACTTAAATGGCTTTCAATACTCTGAAATGTCTGAGAATCTGTTTATCCTCAGGCTTAGATATATATTGCAGGTATAGCAGATATGCATTAAATTCAGTTTGCAGTTTAGCAGTGTCAAATTTATTTATGGTCAAATTGATGTAAAGGTCAAGTATTTAATAGACTACAAATAGTATTTAATTAAAATAAATAAATTCAGGCAACTGTTAGTATGGCAATATTTACATAACTATCTTCAAGTCATAACTATCCTTAATGACAGCCTGTGGTCTCTGCTCCTAACCAGGGATGCATTTCTAAAAACCATCGTTAACCAATTAAGATTGCAAGTTCTGTCATTACAAACATAGTTCATTGATTTGGTGTTTTTCAAACACATCATTCCAACAAACATTTGCCTCTAGAGCTGTAGTTAGAATGTTTTTTGCAGCAGATGCCCTTCCACCCGCAATCCATCACTGGGAAACATCTATAATCACTCATTCACACACACACATTACGGTCAATTTTAGCATACCCAATTCACCTGTACCACATGTCTTTGGACTTGTGGGGGAAAACGGAGCACCCAGAGAAAACCTACAAGAACACAGGGAGAACATGTAAACTCCACAAAGAAATGCCAACTGACCCAGCTGAGGCTTGGACCAGCGACCCTCTTGCTGTGAGGCAAACGTCCTATCCACTGCACCACTGTGTTGCCCACTTTAAACATAAGTTGCACATTGTTATATTTGACCCTATTAGCAGGGAAGAAAGTCAAAAAGTGACCCAACAACATTGCTAGATTTACTCAGTTAATCTTGTTTATTTTAAATACACTCACCAGCTACCTTATTACTGTAGATACACCTGTCCAACCTCTCGTTAATGCAAATTTTTAATCAGCCAATCACATGGCAGCAACTCAATGCATTTAGGCATGTAGACAGGATGATCTGCTGCAGTTTGAATTGAGCATCAGAATGGGGAAGCAAGGTGATTTAAGTGACTTTGAATGTGGCATGGTTGTTGGTGCCAGACGGGCTGGTCTGAGTATTTCAGAAACTGCTGATCTTGGAATTTTCACACACAACCATCTCTTGAGTTTACAGAGAATGGTCCGAAAAAGAGACAATATCCAGTGAGCGACAGTTCTGTGGGAACACAAATGCCTTGTTGATACCAGAGATCCGAGGAGAATGGCTAGACTGGTTCGATCTGATAGAAAGGCAACAGTAACTCAAATAACCACCCGTTACAAACAAGGTATGCAGAGGAGCATTTTTGAATGCGCAACAACGTCGAATCCTGAGACGCATGGGCTACAGCAGCAGAGGACCACACAAGGTGCCACTCCTGTCAGCTAAGAACAGGAAACTGAGGCTATGCTTCGCACAGGCTCACCAAAACTGGACAATAGAAGATTGGAAAAACGTTGCCTGGTCTGATGGGTCTCGATTTCTGCAACAACATTTGGATGGTAGATTCAGAATTTGGTGTCAACAACATGAAAGCATGGATCCATCCTGCCTTGTATCACTGGTTCAGGCTGGTGGTGGTGTAATGGTGTGTGGGATATTTTCTTGGCACACTTTGGGCACATTAGTTCAATTAGTTCCAAGTAAGCATCTTATCAACACCAAAGCCTACCTGAGTATTATTGCTAACCATGTCCATTCCATAAAACCACAGTTTACCCATCTTCTGATGGCTACTTCTGGCAGGATAACACGCCATGTCATAAAGTGCAAATCATCCCAGTCTGGTTGCTTGAACATGACAATGAGTTTACTGCACTCACATGGCCTCCACAGTCACCAGAACTCAATCCAATAGAGCACCTTTAAAATGTGGTGGAATGGGAGATTCGCATCATGGATGTGCAGCCAACAAATCTGCACCAACTGTGTGATTCTATCATGTCAATATGGACCAAAATCTCTGAGGAATATTTCCAATACTTTGTTGAATATATGTCATGAAGGATTAAGTTCTTAAGGCAAAGGGGGGTCCAACCCGGTACTAGTAAGGTGTACCTAATATGGTGGCCTGTAAGTGTATATCTGACTACCTGACTTTGACCTTGTTAATGTTACTATATTTTGTCCTTTATCATTCCTGTCATGTTTGGGCCAAATCTTTTCCCTGTACAAATGTTTGCAACATGGGTGTGATCTTTGCTGCACTGCTGACTTTCGATAAATATTACTAAACATGCTTTTTATCATCTTCAGAATATTGCGTGATTAAGACTGTCTATGCCAGATGCTAAAAGACTTATTCCTGCCTTTATTAAATCTAGGCCTGATCACTGCAATTTTCTTTTTAAGGGATTACCTGCAAACATGATTAAGAGGGTTCAATATGTACTAAACTCATGCTTGTGTCTTCACTCATACACTATCCTATAGCCATATTACTCCAGTGCTTTCACTGGCATCCTGTTTGATCGCATATTGATTTAAAGGTACTTATTTTAACCTATAAAGTTATGCATGGGCTGGCTTCAGAGTATATCAGATATCTGGTTACAATGTCTACACCTTCTTACTCCAATTATAATCTTTTAAACCTCGTTTTAAATTTAAAACTATGACTGGGAGCTGATTTTCATATATTGCTTGTAAGTTAGGGAATTTTTTGCTTGCTCCCACCTGGGGCACTCATTCTCCTGACTGTTTTTAGAAATCTTTTAAAATATATTTTTTTATGTTTGCATTTTTTTTTAAGTCATTGATCTTATTATAATATCACTCAATGTTATGTGTTATTGTAATGCATTATTTTAAAATCCTTGCTCCTTATTGTTTCTAATGTTGCGGTCTTCATAGAAAGAGAATGTAACTACATTGTGCTTGTGGTTTTGGATGTGACCAAAAGCCATTAGTATAGATTTAATTCTAGCATCAATATGTGAAGTGCTGTGTTATCACAGACAGGTTGTAAGATGTTTAAACCGAGGTGAAACTCTATATAATGCTCAATAGTTGCTCAATATAATGACAAGCATAATGGAAGCATTTATTCCTTCTTTTTTTTTTTGTAGGGGAAGCGCCTTCCTTCGTACCTGTCGGCAGATGCTGAAGAGGGTGAGGTGTCTGATGATGACAGTGCTGATGAGATTGAAGATGATTTTAAGCTAAAAAATAGCACGGTAAGTGATATCAAGTTATATAAGAGCCTGCTAAAATAGCAGGCTACTCAATTGGTTGTTTGGTGTCACATGCAAGTGTAAATCTGATGCCACAGAAAAGCACAAAAACTGTCTGTTTACGATATTAGCTGTGAGACAGGAATCATCCAACACTTTGAACAACATAAACATAAATGCTGCATAAATCTCCTAACTGATGAACGTAGATTGGTGGCCAGCTGAAGTCAATCATATCATGTGCTCCTCTTGAAATTAGTTTGTGAAACTTCACTTCAAGAGTTCACACTTAGATATCCTTTGACAACTGTTAACAAGTTTGGCATGCTGTCCCAGGAGAGAATCCTTTTTTTTGGACTCCTGCGGGAGTCGAAACTCGTGGGCACTCCTGCAGGAGATAGAGCTGTAAGTGCCATCTCCAGCTGGAGTCGGTAAAGAGGTAGGGTGGGTGAAGGCCCCAGCTGAAGGGTGAGTGGTAGTTGGGCGATGACCCCTGCGGGGGTCGAGTGCTCGGGACCAACTCCTGCGGGAGTTAGGTCAGTGAATAGGGAGAGAAAGCCGAGTGCAACTCAGAGCTAGAAGAAAGAGAGAAAGTTAGGTGGCTAGGTCGTGGCCTCTCCCTGGATTAGGCCCTGCCCTTGGCTGCTGGGATTAAAGTATCTGCTGGTGAGGGTCCACTGGGCTTCCATGAGATGGCTGTGGCTTATGTGTGAATGTAGGTATGTGACGAATTGACTGATTGTAAGCAGGGAAAATCAGGAAATGAAGTGTTGTGTGGGGAATGGAATGTTTGGATGTGTTTTGCAGTGAGGAACTTTTGAGATGTTCTAAGGTTACTTTTTAAAATATATTTATGATGCAAATTGTGTATGCATCAATTATGGTAATATCATCTCAAAAGGAGGGATGGGGTCGGGTGCGCCTCTGCTTCTGGTACCAGTTTCTGGAAATAAAAGCGATAAAGAGAGTCAGCAATTTCCTTATGTAACTAGGAACATGTACAACAGTTATAATGAATTGTTTTAGGCTAAAGTCCAAATGATGCGATAGAGAAGCAGCCTTAAAGCAGGATAATGATAACGCTCTTAATTAGTGCAGTGGACAGCGGCTTTATTGCAACAGTGAATAAGAATCTGAATTGAATAGTTTAATTTTAAATAACATATGAATTTGCATGTCCGTTGTGCATTAGCCTACTTTTCCCTGTCATGTGCGCACCCCGTCTCTGCGCTGAGCAGCGCCTCTAGTGCCGTTCAGGCCGAGTTTGTTACAGCCGAGATCGGATAGAGATACAATCTCATCTAATCTGGGCACTGATGCTTTGAGTTGAAGGAGGTAAGTGACGAAAAGGCATCCCTGCGGGATAATGCGCATGTGAGTTTGGATGTCCTAAGATGGACAGCGGTTTGTGCTTAGCGCAATCTTGTTTCTTCAAGAATTTAGAAGGAAACTAAATTTCAGTGGATTTATTTAGGGATTGATGCTTGTAATTCTGCGAATCCAATTTGATGCTTAAGAATTCTATAGAAGTGCTTGGGTTCTTCCACAATGGTAATGCCAATATTAGAAAAACCTGTCACTAAGTTTTGGCTAGGGGATATTAGGGGGAGAGATATAAGGAAATCTTCTAGTAGATGAACTACATGCAAACGCCGTATATTGGCGAGAATTCAAATAGCTTCTGAAGCATAAATGTGGGTTACTTTTGCGTCAAAATGTTTGACAGACTGCGACGTAGAATTGTGATGTCCGATTAATGCCAGAAATCGAAGGAGATGTCAGAGATTGGGGTTTAATAGAATAACTTAAAGGCGGGGGTAATGTTGACATGCGAGCCAAGCATTGCAGCCGACTAAATTAATTAGAAAGATGCTTGGTTTATGGCATGGTAATTTAAAGCATCTTTGTTAGGCGTAATAATTAATGCTCAAAGAGGTGGAATTATGAGGAGATGAAAGGTCTGTTATTGGACGTTTTTAGAAACGTTCTAATGCCCATTTCAGTTGGGCTGATGTGAATGTGCTAACTTAAACGGGGAGCGAGAAAAAGGATTGATCATATATTTACTGTCGATCTCTTTCTCGATTAATAGCTTGTGATTTCTGGTTTAGCGTTGGTGGAGGGAGGGTGAGGTTATGGGAAGGGAGTGCTGTGATACTGGGCTGGGATCCATTAGACAGACCTGAAATGAGAAATTCAGAAAAATTAGATAAGGGTGCAAACATAATTCAGTAAAAATATTAAAAATATTGACAGAAGTCGACAAGTAATTCCTGTTTTCACTAGACTTAGCACTTGGCTGACGGCGTGTGCACACGCCGAAGTAGTTGCCTGGGTGCGGGAGTGAGAAAAGGGAGAGCGAGGATAGGGCCTATTGACCTTATTCTCCGCAGACGAGCGGGCGCTGCCATTTGAATCTTTTTGGCACGAGACTTCCGGTCTCATTCACTTCCATTCATTTTTAGACATTAAAAACAGCTCGTTTCGCTGTTTGATGTTGCAAACTGATATTTCCTTGTTATATTATTCTACTTGGTCTGTATAGTCATGCAAACATTTGTTTGTAGAGCAAGTAGTTTGAACGTTTTTTGCCGTTTATTATTCCTTGTCATTTCTCCCATAGGCGACTGAAACGGAAGTTCTAAGACAATCGCGAAAACAGGCGCACTTCCGCATTTTAGAATAAGGTCAATAGCAGGGTTGAGGGGCGGGTATGTAGCCGGTGGATCTTGGGAATGATAATTCTTATGAGCTGTGTTAAAGTATGACGTTACCGGTAAATTCAAAATTGCAATATTTACACAGGTGAGGATGTTATGGAAATTTTCCAGAATACTGACTAACATCTAGCAGCTAAATGTGTCTATGAAAACATTAACAGGCTTTTATTCTCACAAACCGCGTGGACGTGAATGCGTCTGAGTGTTCTGATTGGCTAAAGAAGACATCTTATGTCATCACGTTCTAGACGTGAATGCGCTCTTTCCAGCAATCTTCCTTCTGCGTTCACACAGCACAGCATTCCGGCAAATTACCAAAAATGTTACAACTTCTGTTTCCCGAAAATAGCCGGAATGAATTTACCGGTATTTTCAAAAAGATCCTGTTCACACATACAGACCTTTTTGGAAAACTGCCTGTTATTTTCTGCAAAGGTATGTATGTGTGAAAGGGGCTACTGACTGCAGTTTTATATTTCTCATGCTTTTTTGTTTGTTTGGTTTTTTTTTTTTTTTTTTTTTTTTTTCAAAAAAAAATAACTAACCTGTATGACATGACAGAGGTAAATAACATTTAACATTTAGGTGAACACTTTCTTTAATGCAGTAAGTAATGAGATCTAGATTTAAAGACAAACACAAAAAACAAACAACACGCAAGCTGTTATATTGGTATCACTTTCTCCATGTTCTGCTATGCCACTTTTAATCACGTTATCACCTTCTTGGCATCTCTGTCTCTGCACTTTTTCTGAAAATCTCCTCCTTTTGCTGGAGCCAGTATTTTGTCTGGCTGCATTCTCACCCATTCTTACTCAGTGAGCTGTTGTTATTCATCTCTAAAAGCCAATCAATTACAGGCTGAACCCCTGGCATGTTTTTGTTTGTTTGGAAACACCTCTAAAATCTAGCAGAAAGTCTTTTGTGAAAACATAGCCATTTGCCAAGAGATCCATCCAGTAGTGCTGCTATCAAAACCTTTTTATTGCACTTTAGTCCACCTATAGCTTTTCCCAGGTTATAAATGTTCAATTAATTTACTAAAAACAAATGATTGTTTCTAGTTAAGCAGTTGTTTTTGTCTTTATTAAAAAATTAAAAGGTATAGTTAAACCCCCCCCCCCCCCCCCCCCATAAAAAAAGAAGAAGAATTAAAAATAAATAAAGAAAATAAAGAAAATAAAAATAAAGAAAATTACCTCACCATTACTCTCTCATATGGTTTAAATTCCCCATAGGGTTTTTTTTTCTTCGGTAAATCTTTTTGGATAGATTTTAGATTAGATAGATTGATGGCACACACTGACTTCCACAATTCAACAAAATATAATTCAACATTTTTTAAATATATTGCTTTTTAGAAAACTCAAAATGGTTCTGAACAAGAAAGAAAAAATTATGACAGAGATTTATTTTTTACAAAAAAAAAAAAGGTTTGATGGTTGATACTATTTTGAGCCATTTATTATTCTTTTATTGTTCTATTTTATAAAAATATATATAATATGTGGCTTATTGCTTTGTGTATGTTTGAAGAACATCACAGATTCATAGACATCCTGTTTTGTCAATTTGACTTCTTAAGGCATTTAGAAAGTGGTCTTATTGGACAGTTTTTTAACCAATTTAAGGCAATGTATGTAGAGTTTTAATGAGTTGCTTAATGATTTTGACAATACATTCCTGCTTTTCAGTCTAATGGGCCTAGTCAGCACCAAGTGGAGTCCCACATCAGGAAGAAACTAGACTCATTGATGAAAGAGTCTCAGATTGGGGACAAAGAGGACACAGACAGTTTCTCTATCCGTGCGCTGCTTCGTGCCACTCACGAGGGCCTCCAAAGAAACCTACGCAAGGTGACACGATCTCTCTATCTGTGATTTTAAATTTCTTTCTCTTCCATTATTCATAATGATGAACTGTGTTTGAATTGTGCTTAAATTGTCCCAGTTGTGCTATTTTTGAAGAGCCCCTATTATGCATTAAAAAAGGTCATATTTTGTTTTTGGGGCCACCAATAAAAGGTTGACATGCATAGAAGGTCAACAAACACTTTCATTGTCTGAATGTGCATTTTTTAAACCTAATTATCCCAATCACTCAAATATGATTTGTTCAGCGATTCATTTGTTCCCAAACGCTTCATTTGCATGATGCTAATCTGCGGTGATTGGACTTAGTCTGTTGTAATTGGTCGACTGCGTTTAGGGCGAGAAGGAAACTAATGCCCATCAATATTAATATTTAGTAGCCAGAGTACAGAGCTTATGTGTGAGCCCAATGCAGGAATGCAATAAAGCAATGCAGTTAAACACCAGCATTTTGCTCTACTTTTAACCATAACCCTAAGTAATAACAAAGACACACATTCAGTATTAACCCACACAGTAGCAAAAGTTGAACTATTTTAAAAATTGACCGCTGCATGTGTGTAAGAACAGCTGATAGTGGCTATAGCAGTGACAAACAACAAGGAATCATGAGCAGAAATGCATTTAACGTGGTAAAGAAAGTGGCACAATTTCAACACGATATGTGATTATAAAGAGTTAACCAGATACAGTAAAAGCTGCATGGAGCAATTACAAGTAACAAAACACAATTAAATACATATTTTGCAAGCTAGAGAAAACTAGGAGGCAACCATTTTAATCACACAAGTTGTGAACTAGAGGAAGAAAAAAATGGTCCATGAGTTGTGTACTGACAAAGTGCCATACATTTAGAGCCTACTCACACTATGCTATCCGAACCGTGCCCAGGCCCGTTTCCCGGATCGTTTGAGAAGTGTGAGTGCTCTGAATCGGGCTCAGGCATGGTTCACTTGGCTGTGCCTGGCCAAGTTGGAAGAGGTGTGCTTGAGCACGGTTCACTTGGGCTTTGGCGCGTTATGCTTGTGTGTGAGTGCAAAACACGCCTAAGCCCGAAACTGAAAGCGAGTCGTGACTTTTAAGGGACTGTTTCATATGGATTTATTAATCATTCTAACCGTTCAGTGAATGCAAACTGTCGTAGTTTATTAAAGAGGCAAACCCCTCACATGACAGCTGCACACCTTCAGCAAACCTCCTAATTCCTGCTGCACGAGGACTTTATGGTCGTTATTAGCGTCAAAAGTGGCTGATCTGTTCGGTGAAATTAAACGACTTAAACAATATAAATAAAGAAATCTCCACTGTGCTGAGCAAGAGCGCTTACTGAACAGCGCAGCATCATTGACATAATTGTGCCCAGGCCCGAATGTAATGTGAGTGCGGGCCGTCGGGGGAGATGGGAGAGGGGCCAAGCGTGCTTTGGCCCGGTTCAAGGCAACTGTGAATAGTGAGAGTGCGCCCTAATAGTCTTTGATGATTTTTCCTTTAACAAAATTCCCAGTTGCAGGGTAGGTTAGCCCATTGGATTAATCATTAAAATGTTTACTCGCAGTCCGCTAGTGTTTAAAGGGAAGGACGTGTTTACATTTTACCGTATCTGGCACCTCATATTTGATATTGTTTCGTGTCAACGTCGATACATGCAGGCAAATACTTTGGACCCAAATCGAATCATATAAACAACTCCGAATTGACTCTTTTTTTTTGAGAATCAGTTGTTTTAAACTAGATGCACTGTCAGATTTAAACCTCAGCTGGATGTTTTTTATTCTCTTAGAGCTGTGTTACACTGTGCATGGAAGGTTATTTTCAAAACTCCATAATAGGGGCTCTTTAAGGTTCCTAATTTATAAAAGTTTTTTTTTTTTTTTTTTTGCTTTCAAACTGCCCTTTTTGCAAGTGAAAAACAAATTGTAACCAAAACCACATATGTGTTAAACAGAAAGAATTTGTTTGGAAGAGGGCTAATAGCACCTCTTCGGCGTTTGGTTCGTTTGTTTGGTGCATGCTAGATTTCAATTATTGTATTCCCAGTTGGCAAAAGATATACACCAAAAGGGGAAATGAACTTGAGTGTATTTACAAGACAGGTGAGAATACACCCCTAGACACATTCCTGGGTCAGTCACCCAAAAATGTTATTCAAACCTAATCCTTACCCTTAAACCTAACCCTATAGTGAAATTTTTTCTGAAAAGAAAGAAACTAAGCTCAAAAGAAAGAAAAGAAAGAAAAAAAGAAATTAGAATTAGAATACCTATTCAGTACAAACCTAATCACATATGCGATCCAGAAAAAGACATGGAGCATCACTTAATTGACATTCATTCTGCCTCTTTTCTTGGCCTATTATTAAACTTTGCACTTTCTAAACTTCATTTTGATGTGCCATTTGTAATGCACGGAGGGATTTTCTCTCCCCTCCGGTTTTCCTGCATAATATTTATAAGAAGAAAAAAATAAATAAATGATTGATCGCATGCTTAAATTAAGAGTCTGTTTAGAGATGATTCAAGTTGCATTAGTTTAAAGCATCACTGCATGTGAAAACCTTTCTCTGATCTTGTATGGCCAAAAATACTTCCTTGAATAGTTTGACATTCGGCTGTTTGATGTAGAATTGGTTGCATTTCTAAAGAAGAGTTAAATCTCAAAATGATAAATAAGACATCATTTACTGTAATTCCAGAATGCTCATCCTTTTTTTTCAATGCTCTTTTGCATGTAGGAAAATGGTAACTGACTAGTACTTAATCGTTAGATAGTAGTTTCTATTTAATTTACTAGAACTTATTTTATTCATTTGATACTAGTTTATCTGTTTGTTCCTCCTTGTTTCTCTGCCTTGTTATTTAGGAAGGACGGCAATGGCTTACAATAGCTTACTATATTTTATTTTTTGGATCTGATGTAGTTGGTTCCTCAACTACATTTGACGTTCATATAATATCAGAAAAAATGCTTGTCATAATGTCCTTTGTGGCAGACAGTAGTCAGTTGGTGTAGTGGTGGAGTTTTACACCACAATTATAAAATGTAATCAGTGTCGTAAGAGGCTACATCCCATTTAGCTGATCTGATGTGTGTTGGTCTGACATAAAAAAATACTTCTCAACCTGTCTTTGTCAAAACAGCTTGACATAACCAACTAGTTATAAATCTGTCATAAATTTGATTGTCCTGAGCTCGTCATGAAGGCTTTTCTGATTACTTCTTTCAGTGGATCCAAATTAAATAATCTGTCAAATTATTTTATAAGAGCGTCATTAATATTTAATGTCATGTAATTACTTTTTGATGACAAAATCAAATTGTACCACAGTAGTTGAGGTCGTGAAAGATATCAATGATGCTGTTATAATATTATTGACACAACTATAATGGTCTCAATTTTGTTTATGACAGATTTATGTTGTCTTGGCAATGTATTTGTTTATGTCAATTTTTTTTTTTTTAAATAACCTAACTGAGTGAAAGTTGTCATGTGTCATGTTATGATAATGAATGTTTCATGACAGTCCCATGAACATGCCCTTCAAATAAAGGTTTACCAATTTACCCTCTTTAGTCCCAATAAATGTCTTTGCATGCATGTGTCTTGCAGAATTCCAAAGACGGCATGAAGAAATCCCAGAGCCGTTCCTTTATCAGCAACCTCAAGCACAAGGTCAGGATAAAGACAGCCTTTCCAGTCTTTCTCTTACTTTCTCTCTTTCTTTTTTCTCTCTACTGCAGAATCAGGACTATCCTATTTCCTGTCCTTTTTGTGTGTGTCTACAGTCTCAAATGTTACGTAAATGTGCCGGTTTCGATCCCCAGGGGCAGAAGGATTTGAAGAATAATCGCTATTGATAGATTGAAGTGCGGAACAGATCATGAAGATGCATGAGTCATTTTGATCAGTTATTTGAGGGCAGTTACTGATGTCAGAGCAGTGCCAGCAGGCAAACATGCTTTTTAGTCACTTTATTTTAGGCATGTATTTAATGAGGTTACAACAGAAATCATACATTCACTTGATATCTGATAGTCACTCACCCCTGCCTGTGTACACAGATAATAATGGCTGTAGTGACATCCTCATATTTCATCCTTTACATAAAACCACATCATTCATCTCCACATTGTATATTGAATCAGTTTGATAAATATCAACACCTCAGTAGCAAATCAATAAAGTCAACATGTTTGGTGCATGCCAGAGTTCTATTGCTGTATTCCCATTTGGCAAAAAGATATACACCAAAAGGGGAAATGAACTTAAGTTTAATTTACCCAAACAAGATGAGAATACACCCCTAAACACATTCCTGGGTCAGTCATCCAAATATGTTAATTAAACCTAATCTCTACCCTTACACCTAACACTATAGGGAAATTTATTCTGAAAAGAAAAAAAAACTAAGCTCAAAAGAAAACTTGAAGGCTTGAAAGAAAGAAAGAAAGAAAGAAAGAAAGAAATTAGAATTAGAATAACTATTTTGTTCATCTCCACATTGTATATTGAATCGGATTGATAAATATCAACACCTCAGTAGCAAATCAATGAAGAAAGTAAACAAGGATTGCGGTTGCTGCTTTTTATGCAATGCAAGTTAATTTATAAAGCACATTTCATACACAATGATAATTCAAAGTATTTTACATAAAAAAGAATAAAACAAACAAGAAAATAAAAATGATTAAAATAATTTAAAATGATTAAAAGCAGACTAAAATGAAAAAGAAAAAAAGACATAATAGAACAGGGATGGGCAAACTTGATTCTTGAGGGCCGGTGTCCCTGCAGAGTTTTGTTCCAACACTAGTCAAACACACCTGAACAAACTAATCAGTGTCTTCAAGATCACTAGAAATCTATAAGCAGGTGTGTTTGATTAGAGTTGGAGCTAAACTGGGCAGGACACCGGCCCTCCAGTACTGAGTCTGCCCACCCCTGTAATAGAGGGATAGAGTCTCGATTTGAATGTGTCTAGTGTTGGAGCACATCTGATGATCTCTGGAAGCTGATTCCAGCAGCAGGGGGCATAGTAGCTGAAGATGGATTCACCCTGCTTTGAGTGAACTTTTGGAATTTCTAATTTACTTGATCCTAATGATATGAGTGATCTGTTAGGTTTGTGTTCACAGCATATCTGTATTGTATGGGGGTCCTAGACCAATTAGTGATTTATAGACAAGTATTAATACTTTAATTATATTCTGAATGTAACTTGGAGCCAGCGTAAAGACCTGAGGACAAGTGTGATGTGCTCAGATTTTCTGGTTCTTGTCAAAATCCTGGCGGCATCGTTCTGGATGAGCTGTAACTATCTGACTGCCTTTTTGGGAAGGCCGGTGCATGAGTGCATTACAGTAATCCACACTGCTGTTATAAAAGCTTGATCAAGTTTCTTACTGGGAACAAAGCATCTAATTCTTGCAGTGTTTTTGAGATGATGATTTACTTACTGCTTTGATTTGACTGCTTAAACTCAGATCAGACTCCAGAATCACACCAAGATTCTTGACCTTATTTTTTTTCATGTTTGACCCTCAAAGGGATAGAACACCCAAAAACGACAATTCTGCAATAAAACCTAAACCCATTGACCTCCATAGTATTTGTTTTTGTCCTTACTGATTGATTGATTGATTGATTGATTGATTGATTGATTGATTGATTGATTGATTGATTGAAATGTTTGTGTGGATTGTCAAAGTTTTCTCATCTCCTGTAGCTTGCATTGATCTTGTCTGTCAGTCCTATAGGAGGTAGGCAGGCTTGTCTTTCGTGTACACATATTTCCTCCCACTCTTAACATTTGTCTGTATATGTGAGCTCACGGTGTCTCAAAGGTTCCTCTTTTGTTACTGATGAGCCTGAAGCCTGTAATTTATAATACTGTAGTGATTATTTGTGGGCCTCATGGCCCTAAAAAGTAAAATGATTTGGACAATATTGACACATGGTAAGAATTAATCCTTGCTACACACACTCACACACACACACACACACACACACACACACACACACACGTCATTATGTTTAGTATGCCCTTTAAAAACAGGCTTGTGCTTTTCAGTTTTCCTGTTTTGTGTAGGAGGAATTTCATTACCTCTCATCCAAAGTAAAGGAGTAAATATTCCATCTATTTATTTAGCTTGCGCTCTTTCTTTCTCTCACTCTCTCTTTCTCTCTTTCTCTGTGTTTCCACAGAGGCACTCTAAATCAAGGCTTAAATGTCAAAGTGTTGAAACAGAAGATGACAGCCAGCAAGAGCCATCAGGTGGACAGTTCAACAGGTGTGCCTCTGGATATTTAGTTGTTGTGTTTTGTCATTTTAGAAGTAAGCATTTAAATAAACAATATACCATATTTTAATATTCAGATTTTTGTGATGTATTTTAGTATTTTTGCATAAATGTTTTTTTTTTTTAATTTAACATAAAAATATGTTATTTTAAAATGTTCTTTCCTTAGATGGCATTGATAAACTAGTGAGGTAGAAATTTGTGCATGTTTGGTACTAACAAATCTTACTTATAATTAGGTGCATGTAAGCAAATGATATACAAAAAAATTCGAAAAAATACAAATAAAAAGATTCCAGCACTACTTATGATGGAGATTGTAATTAAAAAGATCAATGTTTTTAGCCAAAGAAAAGCCCCATGGAAGACTGTTGCCAAAATGTATTAGTTTTAATTAATACGGTTAAAGTAACGCCAAATTGTCATTACTAGTTTTCAGTGCCACAGGATCTTTCAGCAATCATTCAAATATGGTGATTGTGCTCAAGAAAAATTAAATATTTCTATGGAAAGTGAAAAAGAGCTTGGTTTTGGGAAAACTACTATATAAATTCATAACTTCACACACACAATCTAACAAGCAATAGAATGTTTGTATTTTATGAGGATTTGGCATAATTTGTATGCTTAATGGGTACATTAAGACCAAGAGAAAGTCATTTGTAATAAAACTGTCACGCTGTAAGGACGTTTTCTTATATCTTTTAATTACCCGATTTCCTAGTCTAGACATGCAGTAAGAATGGGGTGACTAATTAAAATTGCTTATGGTAACATTTGAGCTTTTGTCTGTATTGCAAACCTCTTATTGTAAGCGTTGGAGCATCCGAAGAATTAGAAATGTTCATTAGTTTGTGACATAAGCTAAGAGCAAACACTTAGCATCTTAAAGATGAAGTTTTTGAAAGAATTGTCCTGGTTATATTCATGCAATATTGTAAAAATTGTATTAAAACTCAAAATGTTTCTTTAATAAGAATGTTGAACTTCTTTTTAGCAGCCATTATGTAACACTTGAGTGTAATACTATCCTTTGTAAACATGTCATATTGCTAACAATGTTTAAACATATTTTGCTGTAAAAAGTGGGATAGTTTAAGATACATTAAGTGATACAATAAATGTAAAGGTTTTAATTTTTACATATTTTGAGCTTTGGGAGCCATATAACGCTATTTATGAATCATGTTTGCCTTTTTTCTTTAAACTGTTAATTTCACCTGGGGCTAGATTCACAAAAACATTCATAAAAAATAAGTTAGGGAATCTCTTAAACTTCTTGAATATATCCTTAAGACCATCTTAATTTTTTCTTTCAACCTGTTGATTGAATAATGACATTGGGCTGTTGATTGAATCACCTGGGGCTGGATTCACAAAAATATTCACATAAATATTCATAAAAAATAAGTTATGACAAAAATGAAAATAAACTATTAGTCTTTTTGACTCCCTTTTTATTAAATTGTAAACATTATAGTCATCTCTAGATTACCAATCACTGACTGGTGCCACCTTAAAACAGCACAGTAATGTGATTAAGTTATTCTCCTCTTTGGGGATATAAGGCAAGTCAGAGACTTTAGGAAGTAGTAGTGATTTTTTTCATAAGAATTTAAACTCTTCTTAAAGTAGAATAGAATATATGTTTTATTTTTAAAATAATGTATTTTTCAAAATTATATCAGATATAGCAAAATAGATGTGAGGTCCTGTTGGAATAGAGTCGTTATCACTTTAATGCTACTAACAACATAGTTTAAATTCATTATTTTAGTGCACCTTTAATGTTTTTGTGAATCCAGTCTCTGTAGCATTCTGAAGTGTTTAACAAAGTTTATTTTGCTGTGTCTGTCTGTAGAGGTGGACGGAGAAGGAAAACAATAAAGCTAAGCAGAGATCTTTCAGATCTGGTGGTCTTTACCAATTCTGTTGCCTCTCAGGAGTGTTTAGATGAGGGTGAGAACACTTTTATCTGCTTTTGACCCATGCTGTCAAGAACTTAAGAAAATACAATATAAATATACAATCATTTATGCTTTCGTGTTGTAAACAAATGACACGAATGGGTTCAGCATATCCATTTCCATTGTTCAGCAAAATTTTTTTATCCATTTTATTTTCAAGAACATGCTTCTAACCTAGGCTTTCTCACATCCATTTCTTTCAGGATCACCCTGTAATGTTTTGTCATTTAGTGAGGCACGAGCTCAGAACTTGGTGCACCATCGAGCAGAGCGCTTCTTGACATTCAACCAACGACAGCTTTCTCGAATCTATCCCTCTGCCTACCGAATCGACTCCAGCAACTTTAACCCACAAACATACTGGAATGTGGGTTGCCAACTTGGTAAGAAAAGCACACAAATAAATGTACACTCATAAATTTAAAGTGGTTTGCACAGTTACCTCACATCAAGAAGGTCACTGGTTTGTGGACCAAGAGGACGTTCTTTATGGAGTTTGCTTGTTCTCTCCAAGTCTGTGTGGATGATTTCCTCCAGGTACGCCGGTTTCCCACACAGTTTAAAGACATGTGATATAGGTTGTTGATCAAATAAACTAAATTGGCTGTATAGTGTGTGTGAATGGGAGAGTGTCTGGACATCCACTGGCAGTTCATTTCACTTATAAATTAGGGACTAAGTGGTAGGAAAGTGACTGAGAACAATAAACAGACAACAGGATCAGAAACAAATAGACAATATGCATTCAATGTGTAATAAAAATTCACTGATGACCCAGTGACCCACTTTAGGAGTGTATGTGTGCATGCTGTGTGTTTTAGCGATCCTCTCTGTAAAACCATATGTTCCCACTTGCACATACCATCTGGGTCTTGGTTTGCAGACAGACTAATAAGTTTGATTCACCTATTTATGCCATTTGAAAATTAAGCTATGCACATTTTGCTCTTCTCAGTGGAGTGACAACATACATTCAGGTATTCCTTGCTACCTGATTGGAATCCTGTTTGCCTTCCACATCGCCTTTAATTTTGATGTCGTAGATTTAACACGGTCATTTTGGTCCATATTGATATAATAAATTCACTGAGTTGCTTTAATCTTGTTGGATTAAAAATCCATGATGTGTAGCTCCTGTTCTGCCACATTGCAAAGATGTTCTATTGATCTGGAGATCTGGTGACTGTGGAGACAATTAGAATTTAGTGAACTTATTGTCCAGTTTGAGATGTATTGAATTGATAGTCATCACAAGCTAGGTAGAAAGTGGTCATTGCAAATAATAATAAAAATATGTACATTCACACATACAGTTAAAGTCGGAATTATTAGCCCACCTTTGAATTTTTTTAAATATTTCCCAAATAATGTTTAACAGAGCAAGGGAATTTTCACAGTATGTCTGATAATATTTTGTCTTCTGGAGAAAGTCTTATTTGTTTTATTTCAGCTAAAATAAAAGGTATTATTTAATTAAAGTTAATATTTTAAACACAATTTTTTGGACAAAATTATTAACCCTTTTAAGCCATAATTTTTTTTTCGATAGTCCACAGAACAAACTATCGTTATACAATAACTTGCCTAATTATCCTAACCTGCCTAGTTAACCTAATTAATAGTTAAGCCTTTAAATGTCACTTTTAGCTGTATAGAAATGTCTTGAAAAATATCTAGTAAAATATTATTTACTGTCATCATGGCAAAGATAAAATAATTTAGTTATTAGAAATTATTTATTAAAACTATTATGATGACGTGTGTTGAAAAAAAAGTCTTCTCTTCATTAAACAGAAATTGGGGAAAAAATACTTCATGACAAAATGAATTCAACAGTACAAACTGTCCCAGACATTTAAATAATAGTATATCCAAATGATTTTGCTTTAATGGAAAAAATAAATAAATAAATAACTAGAAATTAACCAAGACAAACACATAAAAAAAACCTGCAAAAAAGGATCAAGAAGCATTACAAAAACAAAAATCTGCGTGTTTGTGTTTGTGTGTGTGTGCGTGTGTGTTTGATATCATATGGGTCCAATAAGCAAGAGCAAATTGGAACTTGGGGAGCCACAGCTGAGTTCTTCTCCTGATTGTTTGCTGAATGAAATGTTTACCAGGCCATGATGAAACCTCATCGTTTGTTAGCCATCCAGTTTGTTTAGATTTAAACAGCTGAATAAATAGATGATATTTCAAAAAAATCATGAATAAATGAAAATAAGCTGGAAAAATAGATGGAAATAATGAAAATCAGAATGGGGAATAAAAAGTTTTTCTCTTGCTTAACCCACAGTGGCTTTAAACTACCAGACAGAGGGTCGTATGATGCAGTTAAACAGAGCCAAATTCATGGTGAATGGAGGTAGTGGTTATGTGCTCAAACCCAGCCTGATGTCAAAAGGTAAGCATGGAACTACTTCTGTTGCTTTATAGTCTCAACAATATCTCAACAATATAGCTCAAGTAATTCTTCATGTACTCGAGGAATTGTGATTTTCTCTGAAAATCTATTCCAGGCGCCTTCAACCCTCTAAGTGATGAACCACTTCCTGCAAATCCTAAGAAACAGCTCGTGATAAAAATCATTAGTGGACAGCAGCTGCCCAAACCTCCAGATTCAATGCTAGGGGACCGTGGTGAGGTAAGAAAATACCTCACAAAAATCTCCTCCAGGCTTGAGCAGTAAAATTCACTTGATATTTTTGATGTTTGTGGCTTTCTTTCACAGATCATCGATCCATTTGTTGAGGTGGAGATTATTGGTCTGCCTGTGGATTGCTGTAAAGAGCAAACCAGAGTTGTGGATGATAATGGTACTTTTTTTGTATCTAGCTTGCTGTTGAGCTTATTTTAACCAGAGGTGGAGATAAAAAAAAAAAAAAATCCATCATTGATTAGTTCAGACTGTTGCCAGACTGACAATGCAATTCTGAATTCAAAGTGTCTGTCGTACATGGTAAACATGACACAACACAACACACAACCCTTGCCAATTATTTATTTTCCCTTTCTAATTTACTATCATGCACAATTTTACCAATGTGAAACATGTCATTCATGGTTTTTCATCCTTCTAATGTTAAGTTTTTATGCATTTTGGTTTCGAAGCACTGTTGCCAACTATTTTCAACGAAAAGGCGTTAAAATCTGCCCATAAAATCCCTAAAAATTGCTTTATTACGTCATACGTTAATTTGTATTACTGACGTCATCACGTTCTATCGTTTCTGTTTAACAGCCTATATCAATAAAGGGGTAATTATATTTGCACTATGCTTTATGAAAGCATGTCAATTTAACTAAATGTTTTGCTGTTTGAACACAGTATATAAGTATAGATGTGTAGTGAATTTGCAGTAATCTCTGAGATGTAATCAACTCAGACTAGTTCAGTCACTAAAATATCTGTGATTGTGAACAAGAAAAGAGTAAACGGTCGAATTAAACTAAGGAGAAGCAGATCGGTTTAACTGTACAAGAGAAATACCTTCACACTGCTGCAGGTGCTAAATCATTTGCCGTCGGTACACAGAGGGGTGATCTGCTGTCAGGCTGCAGGTGGGAGAGGCTGCTGTACGAGGACTGGGCTCAGTGCTCTGAGGTGGGGGAGGGGCCGGCGGCATCATCCACAGCTCGTAGAAGAATAGGGACTAGGATAGGAATAGGAATAGAATAGGGAAAAAAGTCACTAGATTTGTCGCTAGTCGTTTTTATGAAAATTTGTCGCTGGGGGGGCAAAGTCGCTAAGTTGGCAACACGGTTTTAAAGATAAGGCTGCATTTTTTCTTTAAACAGCTTAAAATACTAAATACTTTTAGGTCCTATAGATATAATTATTTGAACTGTTTAAGTGTTTACTTTGATTCTGTGTGTACATTCTGGCTCATTTATGAAACATTCATAAATATAGAAAAACTCAAATATTATCTTCTTTTGCGAATCACTTTGCATAAAAACCTCTGCTAAATGAATACATGCAAGTATAATTTGCATGTAAAACAGACCTTCCCAAAAACTCGGATTTACAAATGCTTTGTAAACAGCAGATTTGATAGTTAAATGTGAGTGTGTTAATGAGTGCCAAATATTCGTATTTACAAATAGAGTAGCATAACCCTAGTGTATAATTACAAGTACTGTACGCAAGTTATGTGTCCAGGAACACAGTGAAATATTCTGAACTCCCTAATAAGTATAAGAAAAATAGGTCATATTAACAATGAATATTAACATAACTTACGCCCACCAATGCATTTTAACCAGGTTCAAATTACCAGACTGTCTTCTAAAAATCTCTAGCTGGTGTCTTTTGAGAATACTTGAGAACACACTTTGGAAGCCTTGTCAGTACTTTATTATTGGTATCTCATTTAAAGTTGAAGTAACCGTCTCCTCTGTTGACTTTGACAGTTGGGTAAAAAGTCACAATGATGAGCACTGTTTTATACAGAATTGTTTATGATACGGAATAATGATGTGTTGTTGTTTATGCTATGGTGCTATTTGCTCAAGTAAAATGAAAAATTTAAAATGAGACGAGATTTTTTTTAACAGTTCAAAGTCATTCTGTACATTCTAATTTAATTAATTTCAGATTGACATTATAATCTTGTTGATGATGACGATTAACAGGTGTTCGAACACTTCATCTGCCAAGAAAAATGTGAATGAAACCAGTTATTAAATGTCCTATTGTCATCTTAAAATAAAATAATACATTAAAATACATTAATAAATACGTACATACAGTACCTACACACATTTACAGCTATTAATAGATGATACAATTTTTACAGCCTTGACCATCAAATTTAAAAGATAATGAGAACTTCTAAAGCAAACATATTTGAATTTAAACAAGATTCGATGACATTTCACTTATTAACTAGTTGTTTTGTGGTTGTTATTGCAGGATTTAACCCTGTGTGGGAAGAGACTCTGTCCTTCACACTTCACATGCCTGAGGTGGCTCTGGTTCGCTTTCTGGTCTGGGATCATGACCCCATTGGACGAGACTTTGTGGGCCAGAGAACCATAGCTTTCAGCAGTCTAATGCCAGGTAGGAGATATTCTGTGTGTTCTTTTAGACCTGTGTAACTTTAAACTATTCCACCAGAATGCTATTCCACATGCAAATAAACCAGATGCAACTTGCCTTTATTTTTTCATAAGAGAAGCTATGCCAATATACAGCCATCATACACTCTCATGATGTTCCAATACCCTGAGACCTTTGTTTATCTTTGGAACACAAATGAAGATGTAAATGTGAACAAAGGGCTTAGGAGATTGGTACGACGAGTGAGTTTTTAAGGGCCTTTTTTTTTAAAGCTTAAATTTAATGTAAATCACAATTTAAAGTAATAGTTCACCACAAAAAAAAAAAAAAAAAATTACTTCAGGACTTATTCTCCCTCATGTGGTTTTATTGGTTTTTTATGAGTGGTTTAAAACTTTTATGAGATATTTTGAACAATGTTGGTTGCTGGCACACATCAACTTATAGTACGAAAAAAAAAAACGCTATGGAAGGTAATGGGTGCCAATGGGTGATAGGGGACCACATGGATGGCAACATAAACAGACCACACTGCATGACTTTGCTAGTTTGTTAGTGACTTTGCTAGTGTTGAGTAATTATTGTTATATTTTCTGCAATCTTGGTCATTTTCCATCTTGGTCTTAAAAATGATAGCGAGTGATAAATGAATCAGAAATTTATTTAATTTGTTGGTCTGAGCCAAATGTGAACAGAACTATAAATGGGAATTCACCCTAATACCTGTTTCACACTGCAAGCATGAGATGTTTTTTCGGCGTCCATTTTAACAGATTAGTGCATGAGCGTTGCTGTAGCGGCAGTGCCGCGATTGATTCAGTGCTGGGTCTATTTTTGCCGTGCTGCTCACGCTCAATTAACCCTTTCAGGCTCAAATTAAATTTTAGAAACAGGCAAAATCTATGCTTTTAACTGTTGCAAATCAGCAACGCCTGCCTTGAGAGGGTTAAAGTTATAGTGCATTTATAATGACCAAAAACACATTGAATGACAGTAAAAAGTAGCAATTTTACCCAATAAATGCATTGATAATATCCACTGATTTATATAAAGTCAATCAAATGAACTTAAACGATTAAAAACAGCAACAAACATTTATTAGGGCCCAAACTACAAAAGCAAATTTAAAACAATTAGTAGTTTTGCTTAAGCTGCACACTAGTTTGATCATGTATAAATATCGTTAAAACTATATTGTATAAATATTATTAAACTATAGGCCTACATCATACTGACAATCAATATCCAAATGACCTGATTTGAGAGGCGATTGTCCTCTAAGTGTTGAATGAAACTTCCCATGGAGCTTGAGAAGCATACAGTTCTTTAGGATCTATATATTTTGTAAAAATAAAGACTTGCAGTATAAGGAAACAGCAAAGGAGGAGGTTGCTGCCAGCCTTGGTGCAGATGAAAAGTAAAAAAAAGTGTGTGTGTGCATATATATATATATATATATATATATATATATATATATATATATATATATATATATATATATATATATATATTTACGTAGATGTATAGGTAACTAGATAGAATAGACAGAGATATATTGATCTGTGCAACAGCTGCCGATGAGGTGCGTGCTGCAGTCAGTGTGAAAGGCCAGCGCCTGCATGCTGCTTCTGCTCCCCATACCAGGGCCGGCCCAAGCCTTCAGGGGGCCCTAAGCAGGATTTTATTTTGGGGCCCCTTTGGTGCAAACAGTATGACAAATTATCGTCAATCCTTGATAATTTGCACACTATAAATTTAAAACACACATTATCGATTTTATTCACTGTAGCTGTGTTGCTTACATCATAAAATATATGTTTTAAGACAATTCTAAATATTATTCTGCAGAAACAACTTTCTATTGATCCAACTTTTTATATGACTACTTGCCACAAATCTAAATAACTAGACACAAAACATTAATATGGGCTGACAGAAACAAAAGCAGCTGGATGTAGCCAATAACATACTGATTTTTATTATTATTCAAGACGCTGCCAAACAGTCAAACATAGTGACAATAAAGATACTTTTTTATAAATTGGATATAAATGTTAATACTAAAAAAAAATCATATTGTATTTTGTTGTTCTAATAACTTAAAACATATATTTAAATTAAAATCAAACTAAATCAGGAAGCATTTTCAGTTTTCAGAAATAATTCTAAATTAAGTGATTTTTTTTTGTAAAACAAATTATTCTGCCAATGAGATAAGTAAAACAATCTTATTTAAAACCTAAAACAATCTTTTTTTTATTTACCCTAATTGGCAGATTATTGCGCTTTTTTAATGAAAAATTCACATCATTTTGACTAAAAATATGTCTAAAAAATGTTTATTGGTTTGAGAATTTTTAGATATTTGGACTAAAAACCACACAAAAACTATAAGAAAGAAAATAATTTTTGCAGTGTATTTACCAACTGTCAATTGTATAAATCAGAAGCTTATTTTTTTAATTACCAAGTTCATAAAAAAGCATTTTGCTGCTGTTCCGGGCACTGCTGCTTCAATTATGATATCAATGATTCTGCGATATATTGATAGATCACAAGAAAACCAGCCACAATATATCACAATTTTGGTAAATGAAGGGGGAAAATGCATCGAAAATTTATGATGAATTTCTTTTATAAACATGCATTTATAGAACTGCAACAATGTCAAACAAGTGCACATCTGTCAAACGAGCTTAAAAATGCTGATGTGCAGAGAGGAGTTTGTGACTGAGGAGAGCACAGCATTTAGTGGAATATGCATTTAAGAAAAAAAACTGCTAAAATAGTAATTTATTGCTTTCTAATTTTCTGTAAACTTAAAACACTTATTACAACTTGACCAATTAATTTTATGTAAACATGGAAATATTTTATGCTTAGCCCTGGTTTATTTTTAATTAAAAAGAATGTATCCCCACAATTTTTTCAACTGATCAGAATGCTCTGAGAGGTGTGAGCACAGACTCCTCTGAGCACGTATGTTTTTAGCAGTGGAGAACATTAGTAATTTACTCATCTATTTAAGTTTTTTAATTCCCCTAACATTTTTTTTTGCCAAAATACCATCTACAAGACTTTGACAAGGTCTGTAAGAGTCAAATAAACGCAAGGCCTTTCTAATTAAATGTTCATGTCCTATTGATATATATTTTGGCGGAGTTAAAAAGTTTGAGCACATAGGAAGTTGCACTGGCCGCGGGCACGCGCGAGCGATATAGCGAAGTGAAAGCGCGTCTGTTAGAAAGAAACTAGTGGCAAATTCGGGGGAGCTGGATGTCTGAAACACACAAATACATTGGCCCAGCTTGGACAGAAGAAAGTGTCTGTATGCCTGAGATATTCACCATTGCAATCATCTGTCTTTCAGTTTGTTTACATAACGCTGGGGTATGTCCGATGATCCGCCATTACGGGAAGCGCCACCTGGTGGCGGCTGGGTGTACTGTAGCTAATGCGGTTATCTGCTGTCGGGGTTGAAAACTGATTAATTAAATCAGATCTTTTGTAAATTTAGGTAAATATCTTGGCGCCTGAGTATGTATCGCGTCATAAATAACACTATAAATGGGCATATAATTTGTCCCACCACTAATCCACAACTTGACAAACTAAAACGAAAGTCACACAATAATTTTAAGCACTCTTGGGGGCCCCCTGGTGGCCACGGGGCCCTAAGCAGCCGCTTAGTTCGCTTATGCCTTGGGCCGGCTCTGCCCCATACATGCTGTGCACGCACTGCTCATGCTCTGCTCATGCTTGCGGTGTGAAACAGGCGTAACAAACAACCACTTAATTGTGTGTGAACAGCAGTCACTTTATAAGCAATTACATAACCAATAAAAAAACTAAAGAAAAATAGATTATGAGACAAGCATAAAGAGCGCTAAATAACTCAGGGTCATTAATAAACAGCTTGTAAAGTGAGTGAGATGAGCAGGTTGCTGTGTCTTAGAGTGGTGTCATGTGAAGTGTTTCATTGGAGTAATAAAGGCCTGAGGTGTTGCTGTTGAACAGGAGCAGGGCTAAACTCTCTCTCTGCTCTTATCACTCAGAGAATCAAATACTGGTCACCAAAATACAGATGGCATCATGTCTTTTCAATTCCATTCACTCTCCGAACACTCTCACAAATGCCTTTCTTCATCCCATTTTCAATCATTGCTCCTCTCTTCCACTCCCACAGGATATAGACACGTTTATTTGGAGGGAATGACAGAAGCATCCATTTTTGTCCATATCACAGTGCATGACATCTATGGGAAGGTGAGCTCATTACCACACAGACAACTGTACCTAATCAGTCTGATAAAAATCCACAGCTATTTCCACTAGACATTTTACAGATCTGAGCTCTACACAATAATTCCTAATGCATTTCATAATTAGACCAGCATTGATTACTGATGCAACATTTTCCAGGATTTGTAATCATTTGATTAAATGAAAAAAAAGAAAAGGTGTAAAAAGGCTCAGCTGGTTATCATAACAATCTGTTATGCAGACTGTTGTTTTTGTCCATTTCTGATGTTGTGTAACCAAGCAAGTATGACTGCCAAAAAACAAATAAAAACAAGAATTAAATTAATGGTTTAAGAAGATACCGACTAGAAACAAGGCAAATGATTTGCCAGGGCAGTGAGATAATTATAGTTGGTTAGATGTAATAAAAAAAATAAGAAGAAAATTAATTTGGACTTTTGTAAATAAAAGACGCAGTGGCGCAGTAGGTAGTGCTGTCGCCTTACAGCAAGAAGGTCACTGGTTCGAGCCTTAGCTGGGTCAGTTGGCGTTTCTGTGTGGAGTTTGCATGTTCTCCCTGCATTTGCGTGGGTTTTCTCTAAGTGCTCCGGTTTCCCCAACAGTCCAAAGACATGCGCTACAGGTGAATTGGGTAAGCTAAATTGTCCGTAGTGTATGAGTGTGAAAGTGTGTATGGATGTTCCCCAGAGATGGGTTGCAGCTGGAAGGACATCCGCTGCATAAAACATGTGCTGGATAAGTTGGTGGTACATTCCGCTATGGCGACCCCGGATTAATAAAGGGACTAAGCCGAAAAGAAAATAAATGAATAATTGAAATTTTGTAGGTTGTCACTTTTTTGCAATGTTTGCTTGAAATTAATTGTATTATCTTCCAGTTTCTAAATATGTTTGGTGACTAAAACATGATTTTAATAAAAACTCCTGTTTAATAGATCAGTTTTGTTTAAAAGCACCATTGACCATTGCCAGCACCAAATACATTGCCTATATTCACTGAGAAATAGATAAAAGTATTTATTTCAAAATTGGGCGGCACTCAATTATCTGAGCACTATATTATAACACTTATTACAAGCAGTGTATTTAGTCTAATTATCTTAAAATTGCCTTGTTAATAGCTTTTAAATCTATATGTTTTTCTTATTTTGTGTGAAAAAGTCTCAAAACTTAAGTTACAAAGCAGGATAAAACCTCTTATTTAAGAATTGTCATTCTTTTTTTTAAAGAGCCAAACATTTAAACTTAAAACAAGATCAAGATCACACATACATGCATTTTGTCCACATTTTTAGATATTCAAATTAAGCCTTGACAGAATTGACACTGTAAAAGTATCCGCTTGTTAAGTTGTGACGTAACAGTGACGTATGAAATACTGTTTGAGTCCAAGCCACTGCTCGTTTAAATTGAGAAAATATTTGTTTATGATTACTTTTTAGTCATATCACTCATTAAAGTGAATTTTGTGTACACATTATTCTCTGGGCTTGCTGGATCCCAAACAACAAACTTTTAACAATTTACAAAAGAAAGAATCACTATCTGGCCATTTAATATTAAGCAGGGACATAAATACTGCAATGGTTATTTTGAAAGTAATACATCGCTTTGTAAATCTTAATTATTACCATTTGTTGAGTCTCTCCATACAGTTTGATATAGTGCTTGGACCTGGAAGCCGCTTTGCATGACGTCACACTTAACATATGGATTGCAACAAAACATAACAGAATGTATTTTGAATCTTAAGAACAAGTGTGACTGAACTTGTTATTGGAAAACAAGTTACTACAGCTAAAATAAGAAAATGTGTGATTGTGGACCTTTTTTAATCAGGCAAACTTAAAGGTGCTATATGTAATTGTTTGTCTGTGCTAAAGAGTAAAGATACCATGTTTGCAGATATTTTAGAAACAACTCCTTTAAAATGGAACACATTCCTTTTGTCACATGTTATTGCATGTAGTTACGGTGTAGGCTCGACAGTCAGGCACACTCGCTTATGTTGATGTTGTCAATCTGGCAACCTGTGTTTGTGTGAAGTCTTTAGAAGAGGGGCCCAGTGAAAAAAAGGGTTTTTAATTTTGAACTGCAATACCTAGTCATACCACTGGGCATCAAGCTAACATACTGCACCTTTAAAACAACTTCTAATAGCCAAAATAAAGTCCTAAAAATACAAGGTTTTAATTAGGTCTCTGATTGTAATTAAGCTACTTTTTCTGTTAAAATTTTCTAAATAAGCAAGATTTTACAACAATCATAAAAAATCTCACACAATCTGAATGTGCATTGTATTTTAATTTTAAAAATGTCTTAAAATAAGGTTGTAACTCTATACTAAAAAAAGGAAGTTTTGCAGTGCAGTGGTATTTGGTTCTCATTTACACCACACAACCTCTAAAACAGCAAAATATCCTGATCTCATTGACATTTTATTGAAGTTCCTCCAACCTTTTTACTTTCCAGTGGAGTCCTTTAGTCCTCAATCCAAGCTATACCATAATGCACTTGCTAGGAGCTAATAAGGTACCATGGCTATGTAGTGTTGCATGCTACTGCATGACCGTTGTCTGACGTCCTTGTGAATTCCTGTTCTTGCTCAGTGAACACTAAGCTGTCGTAAATGTTCAGTCATTATCGTTCAAGTTTATTTTGCTTCTCAGTTTTTGTGAGAATTTCTGTTTTGATCAGTTATGTCTGTTTCTAATAAATGTGTTTATTTTAGTAAAACAATATTGCTGAATTTTGAAGGATTGAAAGATGAGAGTTGACTGAATGAAGCATCATTTGTTTCAAAGGAATGTGCTGCCATCTGTTGGGTTTCGTAGGCACTGTAGTCTAAAAAATATTGCTGTGGCAGATATTGAGGTTGACCATTTGAACGTTTAAATGTGTGCCACTGCATGTATGTACTGTCGTTGCTTGTGAATACTGTATGTTTATTATAACCTGACCCAGCAACCCATTTTAGGGGATGTTTCCAACACCATACTATGAAGCTGAATTATCATAATAAGGACATTCTACAGCTCCCCATCCTTGATTTTTTTTTTTTTTTTTAAATGAGTATCTACCGAAAATAGAAATATAACTTTTGACTACTATATATAGTTGAGGGCAAAACTTTTTGCTGTTTAACACAGCGATATAATTTTCATAGAATTGCACTAATAATGAATAATAATTGCACTTTAAGCTGAATACTAGCCTCTTGCAAACTACTGAAATTAAAAAAAAAAAAAAAAAGATTTGAATATATCTACAAAAAACAGTTTGTATACAATACCTGACAAATGTCTTGTCGTTGATCCCAGTTGCAAGAGGAACAAATAATAACTTGACTTCTAGTTATAGATTTGGAAAGGTGGCTGAAGGTAGATTTTTCCAAGTAATTAGCTGTTGAACTGCATCCCAATCATCACAAATACTGCAGAAGACCTATTGGAACTCACATGGACCCAAGATTCTCACAGAAATCAGTCTTCATCAGGATAGCGCTCCTCATACTTTAGCAAAGTTCCAGAAAGCAAAGACAGTCAAGGTGCTCCAGTCACAAGATTTGAACATTATTAAGCATGTCCGGGGTAAGATGAAGGAGGAGGCATTGAAGATAAATCCAAAGAATCTCGATGAGCTCTTGGAGTCCTGCAAGAACTCTTGCTTTGCTATTTCAGATGACTGTATTAATAAGTTATTTGAGTCATTGCAGAGATGTATGGATACAGTCCTCCAAGCTCATGGGAGTCAGACACAATTTTCTTTTTCCACTGCACCATGACTTTATATTCCATACTGTACATTATTTCTGTGACAAGACTTTTGTCTAAGCAAAGTCAGACCTTTCTGTGTTAATCAAATAATTTAAAATCAAAGCATGATAATATTTTATTTTGGTAAAATAAGTGTAATCTAGAGGCCTTTCATATAAGCCACTTCTGATGACAAGTTATTATTTGCTGTTCCTAAAACTCAAATACTATTTTACAATTTAATAATTACTATTTATTTTAAAAACAACTCTTATTTAAGTGTTGTACTGGTTTCTGCAATCCCATTACCTTTTTTTACGTCACATAATTCAGGGCCCTATAATCAGCTCAAATGTAAATGAACAATAATAGGCATAAACATAAGGAATCAGTGGACACTTTTTTTTATTAAATCCCAGAAAGTTTAATAGATAACTTGTAAATCTTCCCTTTATGTTTGGTCTTTCTCATTTCTCAGGGACGCCAGCTTCGGGGTTTTAGAGGGTTATTTAATAGAAGTTCCAAGTCCTCTGTAGACACACATAATGGAGTTCCACCTCGTAAACGATCCATAACTGATCACCTTCTTCGGAGGACTGCCAGTGCCCCTGCAAAAGGCCGCAAAAAGAACAAGATGCCATTGGCTGAAGCTACATATGACAGAAAGCAGAGCACTGAAGATTCTCAGAGCACTTTTGTAGAGAAGAGGATGGGGAACAGAAAAGCACTACAGCATCGCCCAGCATCCATGCCCCTGGATAAACTCCTGCACAGTAACCTCAACCTGTCCACTCCTGAGCAGGAGGAGTCTGATCCTGGAGCAGACACGATCATTGGTCAGTTTCTTTTTTAAATTAAATTACTTTACATTCTAGAAGGGCTATGTCATATTGAAGCAGAATGAAGGCTGTTACATCAGACACATTAAGTTATTGTTATTTTTGTTATTACTTACCATTGTAGCTCTAATGCACAGGTGTCAAACTCAGTTCTAAAAGAGCCGCAGCTCTGCACAGTTTAGTTCCAACCCTAATTAAACACACCTGATCAAACTAATTGAGTCCTTCAGGCCAGTTTGAAACCTACAGGTAAGTGTGTTGGAGCAGGGTTGGAACTAAACTGTGCAGGGCTTCGGCCCTCCAGGAATTGAGTTTGACACCCCAGCTCTAATGCATCAGAGTGAATGTTGCCTGCTTATCAGTTTCAGTCAACTCCATGTAGAACAAATGCTACAACAGCCTTGTTATATGAAAATTAACTATAAACTACAAATATATTTCATTGTCAACATTATATTATGCTATCATTTTTTAAAATTAATAAATTAATAAAATGAATTGTTCATATACAAAAACCTCAAAATGGTGTCTGAAAAATATTTCTGAAATGGTCATTTTCTCATCTTTGTTATTTCACTTTTATGTCAGTTATTTCCCTTTAAAGGTAATCAAATTAACCTATTTACTGCCATAAAAATACAATTACTGAACCTACACACAGGAGCCTATGAAAATGCTTCATGAAAGAAATTTCTTACAACACTTCAAATATTACACAGCTCTTCAAATATTCAAATTATGTTGCCATTTACCCACTTTGATTGCCTTTTGTGCAGTACATATACAGATAAAAACATTTTGAGAATTTCATTTTTTTGGATTGAGAATATCTTTGTTTTATATTTAATTTCTTTGTTGGTCCGTTAAAATATTCAGACTTATAGGCTTTTCGTTCTTAATTACCTTAACTTGCCTTTGTCTTGTTCTGTCTTTACTGCTGTGCTTCTCTATAGTAGAAAACTGAATAGGAAACCCTTGCAGGTAATCCACAAAGCCATACTCAGGCTGATTCATCCAAACATTCCAGTTTTAAGTCATTGCACAAATGTTTTTTATCAGCTATTGTTTTTCTTTATAAAATACAACCAGAAGTGCTTTTAAAAGAATGAAATTGTTAGTAAAAAAAGCAACAAGTATCTGGATGTTAACCAACTATCTGGATGTTCTCCATGGACCCACACATTTTCATTATCTGACTTGTACTTGGTGGTGCATTCCATTTGTCCTGTGTACAGAGTGACGTGTGTTGGATTTTGGTGTTCATTTGGTGAAGTTCTGTGAGTGTGTTTTGCCATAGTTATAAAAATGTACTGACAATATTTTCCTCTGTAATGTTTCCACAGATTCTTTCCTCCGTGAGAAGCCCAGATCCATTTCAGTGGATCTTCTTTTTGAAACTTCTGCCTTCAAAGAACCTGATTCCCATGAACTTTCTGCTGATCACATTCAAGACTTTGACACTGAGCCCAAAGATTTAAAAGAAACTCCCTACTTGGTCATCGAAGGCAGTAAGAACAGTCTGAGTGATCCTCAAAAAGAACACTCAAGAGATTTTGGGAAGAGTTTCACTGAAGGCGATAAATTATGTTCTTCCAAAAGGCCAGCAGACCACTGGTCAGGTCCTTCAGATCAGTGTAATGGTGGCAGTATCGTGCAAAGTGAAGGAAGAGAATGTAGCCAATTGGAAAGTGATAAAAAGAACCTTCTAACAACCAAGGCAGCCACGTATTCCTCAACCTCCTCTTCTTCCTATTCTTCAGGTAACTTAACCAAATCCCACTCTCCTAAAATGGATCTGCCAGACCAGAACAGTCAAATGTCCCTCCAGGACAGTGCTCTGTCTCGCCTTATTGATGCTGTATCGCTAGAGAATGAATATGACACTTGTGGGTCCATATCTGCTCTGATTGGCCAATTTGAACTCACTGCTCAGCAGAACACTCAAATTATATCCGATTCGCAATCCATGAAACATTCTCATTCTCATCTAAGCAATGGTCTTTCTAGCACTCCACTTAAACTCACAGAAAAATCTGTGTACACAGCTTCAGATCCAACAATGAGATCTTCTAGTCCTGAAACTACTGAACCTGCTGTCTTTACCATCTTAGATGAGGAAGTGCTTTCTCCAGTATCAACAAACAGCTTTTGTCAGAACCTTCCCAATGAATCTTCCATGGTAAGTCAGGGATCCTCACCCATCAAAAAGCCTTTAGAATGGACGGCTCAAAGAAATCCAAAGGAAAGCAGTAGCAGTCAAAGTCCTTCCACTGATTCTTTCAAGAACTTTGATTTCAGAGGTTACAGAGAAACATCAATCAACAGTACAGCCTCTGATCGATTCTTAATGTGCCAAGACTCCGTAAGCAGCAGTTTGATGGAACTGGAAATAAATGTGGATGGGGATCCCTTGGACAACACCCTGACCCCTTTGAGACCTCTTCAAGATTTTAGAAGAGTTCAAAGCTTAAACGAGACTTCCCCCTATCACTTGTCAAGACTTGAACCAACGCATCTCCACAAATCTTCATACCATCCCACTCCTGCTCACTTCACAGACGCGTCACTATTTCACAGACACAACCAGTTTCTACACAAAAGTCCGATCTCCAGCACACACATTTCTGGTAAATCCCAGCCAAGGAAGTTTAACTGTTATAATGACATTGGTAGATTTCCACCTAGTAACAGAATAGATAGTGCAGATAGAAGGCACCAGGACACAAGAGATCGAAACAGCTTGATCAGCAGAGCAGAACGTTTACACAAATCTCCAGAATGTCTCACAAAGACAAAAGGCTGCAATAATTCCATAGAAAGGGACATCTACGGCACAACTGTATCTGACTATGACATGATTTCAGTTGAATTGCAGGACTACTGTTCCCAGCCATCCCCATATAATCAGGCCTTTCCTGTAGCTCCTTCTCAGATCAGTGGACTCTCCCAAGCTGCTTCTGCCAAGTCTAAGAGCCTGGGAGATCTAACATCTGAAGACATTTCATGTAACTTTCAAAGCAAGTACAAGTCAATCAGCCGAAGTTTTGTCACTCCTGCAATGCAAGACCAAAGACGGGTGAGTGGGTTGTCTGGTCGTCCAAAATCTGCCGATCCCTTAACTGAGCAGCTTCGTAAACTTGTGACATTGGAACATGAAGACTTTACATGTGCCCCTTGTTCTCAACCCACCCCGAAACCTCTTTCAGTACTGCCAATGTGCTCTTCTCAGAGATTGGCTGATGATCCTGAAGACCCTCCACCATTTCTGTCAAGGCGACTGTCATCCCGCAGTCAAAGTCGTGTTCGTCATATAGCCAGTCGTGCACGTGAAAGACAACAAGAGGCCTTTAAACAACGGCCTGTTGAAGGTACCCTGGACGTAGTACTCCGCAATAAACCAGTGTCCTCCCAATACCATCCACCAAATAGACACTCTACAGGCTCATATATCGCTGGTTACCTGGACCAGTTGGGTACTGAGTCTCGAGGCTTGCCTGAAGGAGCCTGTACCTCGCTACACTATGGATACAGAGATCAGTACTATAATGACGATTCTGTTCTCCCTCCTGATTTCTCCAATCCATCGGAACCTGAGGTGTTCTTCCTGCTTAGACTTTGACTTTGCATCTCACCCATTGTTTAGACTGTGCATGTATTTCGTAGTAACAACTGCAACTACATGTAGCAGGACACTTCCAGAAATGTGTAGAATATCATAAAACAGTCTCTCAGGCCCCGTTTACACTAATACATTTTAATTTTAAAACGCCTAAGTTTTTCTTTGATTACGGCTTCCGTCCACACTACCCCGGAGTTTTCGAGCCCCAAAATCTGAGCATTTTCAAAATGCTATAGAGGGAGGTCATTTTCATTTAAAACACTGCTGCTCTGGTGTAGCTGCAGGCCAAGTTCAGTCTTGCATCCTTTCCTTGTAAGTTTAGACATCACAAGTTTAATATGGAAAACAAACTCCTGTGGACACCCCGGGGAAATCTTTAAAGGGAACAGTGTACTTTATAACAACTTTCACATCACCCTGGCTATGCTGTATTATCTTAACAATAAAAAGAAAGCATGGTATGAAAAACTGCCGATTTTCATTTTAATATTAACAACTTAACAGACACCAAAAATATCTTGGCGTTTTGTAGCTACATATTTATAGGACCATCATCTTCAATTTATGCATATTTATAACAATGTTGAGCCTATAACATATAACTGTCTCCTTTAATAATTGAAAAAATATGAAACACACCCTGTCTCTGTTGCTGAATATCAGTTTTAATAATCAATAATGTTCATTTAAAGTATAATGTACAATAAGTTTATAGTTATAGGAAAAAAAGTCAAGCAGCCAGTCACATGTGCAGACTTAGGTAACATGGGTATATAAATGAATATATTAAAGAGCCCCTATTTTGCCTTAAAAAACGGTCATATTTTGGTTTTAAGGATTTCCAACATCATGCTGATATGCGTGCAAGGTCAAAAATACTTTCATTGTCTTATAATATGCATTTATTTTTACCTCATTATCCCAGCGACTCCCTTATGAATCGTTCTGCGATTTCTTTGTTCCCAAACCCCTCCTTAGTGCGATTCTAATCTGCGATGATTGGTCCAATGACCCAGTCTGTTGAGATTGGTTCACTGCGTTAAGCAGGAGACAGAGAGAAAAGCCCTCCACGGCTATGAAATAGCAGCCAGATTGTATGAGAACCCAATGCAGGAATGCAATAAATAAATGCAGTTAAAGACCAGCATATTCCTCTACTCTTAAACCTAACCCCAAGTAATAACAACGATACACATTTAGTACTAATTCACATTAGCAAAAGTTGAACTATTTAGAAAATTGACCGCATCACATGTGTAGAAATGGCTGATGGTGGCCATTGTAAAACAGCAGTGGATCGCCAGTTCAGAAATGCATTTAAATCGGTAAAGGAAGAAGCACGTGTCACGTTTTTAACGTGGTTTTGGACACGATATGTAAACAGCCCTATACAGATATAACCTGACAGATACAGTACAAGCACTGATCTATAATAGATACGTGATTACAAGTTACAACACACAATTAAACATATTTTGCCAACTATACAAAATGAGGCAACAATTTCAATTACACTTATATGTTATGATCTGGAGAAAGAAGAAACTGGTCCATATGAACTGTAAAAGTTACTCACAAAGTCCCTGTCAAAGTCTGATAAAGTCCCATAGTCTCTGCTGCTCCTTCAATAGCAAACAGCCGACAAATCTCGCGTTGCAGCTTAGGTTATTGTATCAAAAATCAGAAAATTACAAAAACAAACACAGCACTAGGTTGGCTATACAATGGTATTGTTGTGAAAATGAAGTTTAACCCTTTATTCACTAAAGCCAGGGCCGGTGCGTCCATAGAGGTAACCCAGGTGGCCGCCTAGGGTGGCAGAATAGAGAGGATGGCGTCTGCGACATCTCCTCACTTTCGTCTGCGACAATCCCCTCCACCGCCGCTATCATTCGCGCAATCACACCCCAATCTCTCGTTTTCACTTTCCGTTCGACGGCAGCATGATCATCTTTTGCCTAGAGCACCAGTTCTTTCTCATGATCCCCTGCGCCTCCACTAGTGTGTGGAAGGAAAGCGCGCGCACGTTTTAACAGAACTGGAACTACATCGACGTCGATGCAATCAAACAAAAGATCCAAACCCAACTCGATTAGTTTATTCGACTATGAGTCAAATATTTTGCTAAAGAATCAATAGTCTTAAACACGGTGCACTTTTAGATTTAACCCTCAGCTGGATGTTTTCATTCACTTAGATCTGTATTACACACTGTATGGAAGGTCATTTTCAAAAACCCATAAAAGGGGCTCTTTAACTTATCTTTGCGCTCAGCCAAAACACATTACCCGAGAATATATAATATTCCAAAGTGTCATTAGATAGAGGCAAAAATTAATTAAATATTGTTTAACAATTATACTTAGATGAGATCCAGCGGTAGATCCTTGAGGAACTGTCTGACGTGCAAAGCTCTCACCTGGGGAGATGTGCTCAAAGCACCAGCAGACTGCCTGGATCTCAGACCTCCGCATTCGCTGCAGTGCATGCCAGAGTGCGTGTATGGTCACGATATAATGTGGACAGATAGCTTTTCATAAATGCTAGGTGAAACGCCAGTGTTGACATAGATTGTTTTCTTCTAAAATGCCATTTTAAAACTAAAACATATTAGTGTAAACGGGCCTTACATGTGCTACCCTGCTCTATGAACAAATTACTTTCGATATTTGTGGTCCTTGTCATGCTTGAATGAAATATCTTGTTCAAAATGTGTACTGTCTCAAAGTAAAACAACAATAATAATAATAATAGTAGTAATAATAATGATAATAATAAAACAGTAAATGACTGAATTGGATATCTCTTTGAGACAGTTTTGATGTTGTCGACTATTGGTTCTTTTTTAGACTACATAATACAACAAAATCATGAAGGGGCTTCAATTTTTATTCAGTCTTCCTGTGTATTATGTTGTTTATATGTCTGTGTAGTATGTGCATACTTTGTTGGTACATTTATCGACAGTCGAAGCACTATGGTTTTTTATGTATGTTTGAATTTACTGTGACATTTTTCTTTAGCATGTGAAGCGTAAACATTTTAAGCATGACTATGCACAGACCTGTAGATGCTGTGCTTTGATTTTGCACAGAATGATTCTGTTGTATTGAATGCAATACATCACATTTACCTGCTTGCTAACTTGCTTGCTTTCTAATAGTCATGAATTTAAAGAAGACTGAAACTCTTCTTCATACTCTAAAGTTGTATGGTTAAAGTTTTATTTTTATAATTGCTTTGATACAGAGAGCAAAAATAATGTTTGTTAGAATTGTTTATTTTATTTTTGTTTTGTTTTTGTTTGTTTTTTGTAGAAATTCTCCCCCAATTGCCCTGTGCTATAAGGCATTAAGTCTCTTCTTTTTACTGCTTCTCATCCAAGATGAGTGTAAGCATTTTCCTACCATTGCAATAAAAAATGAAATGTTTGCTATGAGGTAAAACATATTTGTGTGTGTTTTTTTCTTCTTCTTTTAGCGTTATCTTTAATATCTGGGATTAGTAAGTCTACTCATGAAGACTGCATTTATTTAATCTAAAATAAAATTAAAAACAGGAACAGAGTTATTTTTAAAATGAAGAAAACTTTATTTTACTTGATTTTTTTTTATATTTTATTAATGTGATTCCGAGCTTGATCAGCCATTACTTTAAAGAGATAGTTCACCCAAAGCTGAAGAATCTGTCATCATTTACTCACCCTTCACATGTCAGAAACCTGTTTCAGTTTCTTTTTTCTGATGAAAACAGAACATGTTATTTTGAAATATGTAGGAAACTAGTAGCCATTGACTTCCATGGTAATTTTTCTTTTTTCATATTCATATTAATTTTCAAAATAACTTTTTTGTGTTTAACAGAAAATGAGGTTGAGAAGTTTAGTTTAGTTTATAAGCTTCATTGTCTTGGACCCTAGACCAAGGCTGAACAAAGTAAACAACAACATATCAACAGTTAAATTACATGCAATGAAGAAAATTACATATTTAAAACTCTAATTAATGTAGTTAAAAAAAAAGATTTCTTGAAACGATTGTATCTGCACACCGGCAGCCTTTTATAGTTTACTAGAAAGCAGTAATTAATACTCACAAAAGATATCATGTGAGGGCTCAGATATTATTTTAACAGCTTCATTAATAACTCATTGTTCATAAAGATTCAAAAGATTGATTTTTTTTACTTATGATTTCCATGGCTATCTTTACCAAACATGAAAGGCTGGCTTTAGATTGAACTGCATCGCTTCCAAACCATAGAGTAAAACTATAGTTTACTATGCTTACAGACTGGTAAAATAACTTTTGCTTAACCCCTAAAACTCACAATCACTGCTGCAAACAAGAACAAATATTGTCTACACATGGATCCCAGGTAAGCAAGTTATAAATGTAAACATGCAGATATTTATAAGAGCACACTTGTTTAATGGGTTCCGTCAGGATAAATACAGGTTTTGTTAATATTAACAAAAAGTTTAAATCACTCACTTGATTCTACCTATCAATCTTCATACAATATGTTACACAGCTGTGTTATCTGGGTATTTTCAGACTGATCTCACGAGAAAACGAAAGTGTTTTAAAATTAGCCACTAAATGAAAAAGTTACGAATTGCCGTGAGATTGTGTTGGTATTTTAGTATAATGTTACTGAAATCATGACCACATTTGTGAATAGTGAATTTCGTGGTGAACTGTAACTCGGCTACACAATACACTCTCAGAAATAAACATACAGGAGCTGTCACGGGGGCAGTACCTTTTTAAAAGATATATATGTGTTCCCAAAAAGTCCACAGTGATACCTAAAAGGTGCATATTAGTACCCAAATGGACCTAAAAAGTACCCTTGAGGTACCATTATGGGACTTTCAGGTATAAATATGTACCTTTTGAAAAGGTACTGCCCCAGTGACAGCTCCTGTACCTTTATTTCTGAGAGTGTACTTATTGGACAAATTCTTAAGCACTTCACTTAATGTGAAATATTTGTTTTAGCATCATGCACCCCAAAAGAAGGGAGTAAAAATTAAACCATAACATGCATTTACGTCTATTTCTGTAAGTCTGTAAAAGGTTCACATTTACAAGGTAACAAGGGTAGCCAGGTTATAATTTAAATGTTATATTCTGAATAACAACAAACACAAACTGCATCTTGCTGATGTCAGACAAGAGTGATTTGTTAAGAAAACTCAGGCGAGAGTTCACAATTAAATGTGATTGCATCAAAAGCTTTTCCACAGATGGGATATTTTTGTTTTTCAAGTGAACTGTGTCTCAGTGCCACACTATTCCAAAAACACTGAATGTCCCTGTGCAGCTCTATTAACTGCGAGCTCATCAAAAATGATTGTTTAATTATATTTAATTCTGTGGCTCAGCGGATGTGTAATTTGGTGTTTTCTCTGCTCCATGTTTCGCAACTGATCTTTTGGGATTGTGGTCAAAACAAATACATCTTCTTGCTTTGCATTGACACTGTAGGGTGCAGGACAACTGTCAGACAAGCTGAGAACGTAGAACTGTGCAAATGTCTATACATGTCCTGTCATGGCTCACACTTTCTGTGCCGGTGCTTCTGTTGTGGCCAGTATGTGGATCTGGAACTGAGGTGACTCCGCTGGAAACATGTGTGTACTTGATCACGCCACAGTACTCAGATGAACTTGGTACCTATCAAGACGGTGACGTGATTATTGGTGGTCTCATCAATTTACACAACCTGGCTGCAACTCCAGACCTGAGCTTCACCAGAAAACCTGGATTAGCACAATGCTTAGAGTAAGTCATATATGCTTTTCCTGTATTATTTATTTATTGTGGCACTGCATATCATCTAGAAGAAGCCTATTGGAGTATTTTTTCACCATTTGAACATTTTATAATAACTTCTTAAATCTCAGAATCTTTAAGATTGCAGTCACTTTCTCATAACCTTTTTAAATTAACAAGAATGCTTTAACAAATGAGCAAACAATGGAAATAGTTCTACAGCATGTAGTAATTGTAGTTTATGTTCATTTCAGTATATTATCATATAACATGGTATTGTATTTGTTATTGTGTAATGCTCTATGGCTCAGTGGTTGGCAATGTCACCTCGCAGCAAGAAGGTCATTGGTTCGAGTCCTGACATTTCTTTGTGGAGTTTGGCGGATGTTCACCGGGTGCTCCGGTTTCATCCACTGTCCAAAGACATGCGCTATAGGTGAATTGGATTATCTAAATTGGCTGTAATGTATGAGTGTGTGTGTGAATGAAAGTGTATGGGTGTATCCCATTTGCAACTGGATGGGCATCCATTTAATAACCCTTGATAAACAAAGGTCTAAGCTGAAAGAAAATTAATGAATGGATGTGCATGTTAATCAATGCATTATAATGTAAATAAATAAACATCATTGTAGTGTTATGCCATGAGTTAGTCTATACATTTAAAAGAATCGTACAACTTCTATCATCATTTACTGATTCTCCACCTGTTCAAACCCCGTTACATTCTTCTGTTAAACAAAAAATAACAGTTTGAAAAATGCTAGAAACAAATTATCATTGACTTCCATAAAATTAGTTTTTCCTGCAATTGGTCTCAATGATATTTTTCAGTTTGTCATATTTTGTGATCAACATAAATGAAAAGAACTCTTTCAGTTTTTTACAATTGTTTCGCTACAAATGTCAGAACCCTGGAGTAAATTTTTAAAACTCTAGACACAAAAATCATAACCAGTGCCAAAATTGCACATTTTTGCAAAACTCTTAACTTTTTTTTTTTCAAATGCTTGGATATGATACACACAAGTCAAAGATGCTTTGGTCATTGAACTAAAATCACCTTTTCAGTATAATACAATTAAACATCCAATTTATCTCATTTCAAAATGCAACTCACACATTACATCTGGAACAACCGTGTATTCATTTAATTAAAATGATATAACTATCAACTGATCCAAGTACTAAATGTAATAACTGTTGCATTACTCTGGATGCTATATTGAAACTGATGTACAATATTACAAGTTTAGATGATGTAAGTTTCTGGATAGATCAAATTACATCAATTACCACAGATGATCCAACTGGACTACATTATCTATAGATTTCATTCTTATTTCATATTTGGTTTCTAGGACCACTTGTACAGACAATGTTTTCATACTTGACATTACTTTTTTCATGTTTAACATTACTGTATGCATGAAAGACCAATCAAATACAGACCAATGTCAAGCCTAAATTCACACTGACAAAAGGTGACTAAGATGTTTGACTAAAGAAAACACTATTGTGATGTGGAGAACCTGTAGCCAAATCCCTAAATGCAGACTGATGAAAATGTATCCCAAAAAAGAAATCTGATATATAAAAATATATGCAAATTGCATGTGGAATACTACTATATTTGAACTTCACATATATAAAATATGTCATACATGTCAAAATTTTGCACAAATTGTAAATTGATTACCGTTAGTATTACAAATGTGTACATATATGTTACATAAATATATTACCTATTATGTTATATATTTTACCTACAAATATATTATCTATTAGCTTTTATATGCCCACACATACACATGTATACAGTTGAAGTCTCAATTATTAGCCCCCGTTTGTTTTTTCTCCGTTTTCTGTTTAACAGAGAGAAGGTTTTTTCTACACATTTCCAAACATAGTAGTTTGTTCTGTAGACAATAAAGAAAAAAAAATGCTTACATGGGCTAATAATTTTGTCTTTAAAATGGTGTTAAACTAAAAACTGCTTTTATTCTAGTCAAAATAAAACAAATAAGACTTTCTCCAGAAGAAAAAAATATTATCAGACATACTTTGAAAATGTCCTTGCTCTGTTAAACAACATTTGGGAAATATTTAAAAAAAAATAGAAACACATTCAAAGGGGGGCTAATAATTCTGACTTTAACTGTATATAGTAACTTATTTCTGATGGTATCTTCAGTTTTGAATATTTGTCATTTATTATTCTTTTCATTGTTACTGATTTCATTCACTTGTTCACATAGCTGGAAATTGTCTGTTGTCAGGTTTCAGGAACGTACTTACCGCTGGTTTCAGGCAATTGTTTTTACAGTTGAAGAAATTAACCAACATCCCTCACTGTTGCCGGGGGTCAAACTGGGTTATCACATAATGGATAGTTGTTCCCGTTACCCACACAGCCTGACAGCAGCCATGTCAATGATCAGTGGAGGAAACAAAACTTGCGGTCCCACTAAACCAGCCAAGCTTCTGATCGGAGATTCTTCATCTACTCAAAGCATTCTTCTATCCACAACCTTGGTTCCCCTGAAGATTCCAATGGTGAGGTTATCAATTGATGTTTGTAGGCTGCAACATTTGTTATCATGTGTTCATTTGGATGGTACTTTTAACATGTTTTGTTGGTTTTAATTTACCACATTTCAACCACATGCC